CAGGATCCGAGTCACCTTGCCGGCATCCCTGATTCAATTATCGGCAAGAACAGCCAGCTCCCCGTCGTCCAACGGCCCATCTGCTGGGTAAACATTTGCTTAAACTTTACAATGAAATTATCTGAGCGTGTCATGGCTGTGCAGGTACTACAGACTCCAGGGGAATTCGAATTTGCTCCTCCTCGGCGAATCGTCAGAGTAATTGGAGTGTGTTGCGGCTAACAGTGGGCAAAGAATGGAGCCAGGTGGCCAGGGTAAACACTAGCAAATCGTTCTAATCCGACTTACCTAAGTGGGAGTCAATCGATAGATTTTATTTTTATTCTAAAGCAAAATAATTTAATTTCCACAGATTAAAGGAAGTGATTCATACTTTCTCTTCGGATAGCTACACTTGAATGACAGATTTTTGCTATCTTTCTAGATTACTTACCACAACTAGTTGCGCTTATAAATCGCCTGATTGCAGTCAGTTCAAAGTTGCTGTCCTCTAAGCTAATCGCCTGAAATGTGCGGGAAACTCCGTCGGTGGATTAAGCAGCGCTGCAATCCCATTCACCTCGCACCCGAAGAGTCTCAATGTCGCTTTTAATTAAAGTCCCTACAGCCAGAGTGTCATGGCAGCCAAGTGGTCTTTGAGCGCTTTAAAAATTTAAAAGTGCGCAGAGTTCTTAAATTTTCAATAGGACGACTGGTGGCAGCTGGCGCCCGCAATGAGGAATGGCGCATTGTGGTCCTTCCCTCTGTGCTCGCACCGTACATAATTTAATTTGCTGACATAATACGCTGAGCATTAACAAAGTAATTACGGGCATTATGGCAACCGCATCGCCGGCGAAGGCTCCGCCGCCAATCTGCAGTCCCGCTGCGATTTCCACAATTTCCACAGTTACCATGGCAGATGAGATGAGGAACGGCCATTGTGGTTGCCACATCGCATACACTCGGCCGCAAGTTTCTGTGTCTCCCAATTAACACAGCGCTTTTGGCCCGGTGGCAGGTATAGTTTCAAGCTAATGGCTCGACTGTCTTGTCAAATATAGAGATACTATGAAGTCACCATAAATAAGTGTGCTTTTAGAATAATATCTTTATTATTTCATTAAGTAATTCAAATTAAACGTAAATAAATTTTAAAAATGATTGTCTGTCGAAAACTATTATTTATCATAAGATTTAACTCGTAAACTAAATTTTTGTAATTCCTGTGATAAGACAATAAAATTACCTCACTTAAAGTTTCCTATGAAATGACCAAGAATGTTTTCCAGCAATCACTAAAGCCATAGTCTGAGTTCACTTGAATGCATTAATAAATTCCTAGAATTAGTCAGTTTTATTTAATTCCGCAATTTATTATATTCCCAGTTGGCTCCAACCTCTAAGCCACTTTCAGTGATTTAATTAGCCCCCATCAACTTGACATTTGACGGGTTGAATTTAAAATAAATCTGGCTCTGAATTTGTTCTTTTCATTCGCTTATCTGCCGGTCCGTTTGTCTCCTTGGCTAAAAGTAAATAAATAAAACAAGAAAGGTTGCCGCAATATCTTTTAATGCCGAGCAAAACCAGAGCGCATTGTACGGGGGGCCAAAGGGCCAAAGGAGAACGGAATACAAAGTATGCAGCTTTAAGTGACGAGTCGGTAAATTAAATTCCTCAAAATGTCAGCCAGGATAGAGGGCGAAAATGAGCGGATCGGCCGTGTGCATAAACATGAAATAAAATGAATTAAAATGCGAATTGTAATATGGGAGACGAATGAGCAAATGCCCTGGCTGCCGGCAGATTTCCGTTGTCAGTAGCGACTTTTGATTGTTTCCATCAGCGTGTTTGTGCTTGTGTTTTTTTCCCCCCCGTTTTTTTTCGGTGCTCCATCATTTTGCTGCTGTACAAACACGAATAATCAAATGCACGCACATCTGCCGTGTTCGGGAGTAAAGTGAAAGTTAAATATTTTCCTGCCCGCCCTCGGGCCACATTTACACACATCCATCCGCATTCCTCATGTGTTGTGTCAAAGGAGCCAACACGCCCACTCAGTCGTATACGCGACAAAGGCAGCATACCGCCTATACGCAGGGTTGGCCAGCAGATTGCATTTTTGTGGCCCCATTAATGTGCTATTTTGTTGCAGCTCCCGTTTCCGGCTGAAATTAAATCTCAACCTGCGGCGAAGATGACGCAAAATGTCAGTTCGCCTGCCAAACGAAACCCAAAGCAAATATTCAGGCGCAAAAGGTTCTAAAGTTCGGGTTAGAAAAATACGAGAAAATGTCGCAAATGTGGGCAGTCAGCTGAAAGGCGGCGAGGAGTGGGTGTGGTTCATGCGCAGTGGCTGCCATTTGGCAACTGCCAAGAGTCAAAGTCGTCGAGAAAGCCAAGTAAGCCAAATCCAAGGACCGCTGGAACGTGGTGGCATCGAAACGACGGCAACTGGAACCCCACAATGTTACGACTATAGAGCGCCTAAATGCTCCCACTTGCATAATGCGCCAAATCTCGTTGTTTATATCTCGAACTGGTCGTGAACTTTTGAAATGGAGATTTACGACCAAAGTTGGGGAAGCCCCTTTGCCCCCATTACCCCCACCGCCTCCCAAGTTCCAGCAGTTCGAAGACTTGGGAGCTCTAATTGGCAAACTGGCTGCCATGGACCGCTGGTCAGCCATCCAGTGTTTGACGAAAATCACCTGTTGATTTCACCTGCCGCCTGGGCCTTAATTAAGGCCCTCTAGTCGGGCCGAGATGAACTAAAGCCAGGTCAAATCTGGCCCCAGACAACTTTTCCCATCTTCTGCACAAAACTTGGGCTCTAATAAGTGGACAGCACCGGGTTGGGAATAAAACAAATTAATCCACTTTGCCGAAATTTGTCAAAGCCAAGCAACGATGGCGAGGACCAGGAGGTGAGGCCAGTAAACTTATCTGATTCAATGTGACAGGCCTAGTATGATGATGACGAGCAAACTTTGGCCATGAAGCCGGGCTCAACCACTGACTTTGTCGTTTTGCTTATCTGCAAATGACAAATAAACTATTTTTCCGATTTCCCTTATTTTCAAACTTGTAGAATTTAAACGGTTTTCCTTGTTCAAACTGCTTTAACGTAATGGATCTAATGGACTAAGCCATAAAAAATACAATTGATTTTAGAGGATTTTATATTTATAAAAAAACTGTGTGGTAATACTTTATTACATTTATTTATGAAGCTTTCAAAAAGGCTATGATAAGTTAAAATTGTTGCAGTGCAAAACATTCCTATAATTTTTATCAATGCTTACAAATATTTTATGCAGTGTTATTTTTATTATTATTCTTTTTCCTATAGAGAATCTTAAGTAGTATAAAATTAACCGCAATGCTTAGCTTTGTACATTAAATATTAAAGTTGTAAATACAAAAGGGCAAAACCTGTGAAAGTATCTAAAGTTCGCTCTCTGTCAATCCCATTTTGTTTGTGGCTAAACCTGAAGTGACCGTTCCTGTCCATTTTCGTATTAAATTATGCAAGCTGAGAATAAAGCTGTACTCTAAGCAAATCGTAGCGTGATAAACAACAGAAGATAGGCATAGAAGGCGCTCCAAGTGGTCGGGGCTAAGCAATCGGACTGAGGGACTTTGGCAAATATGACATTTTCAGATACTTGGTACATGGAAAACCTTTTACTTTTCCCATATTGTTTGTTAGTTAGCAGCGCTGTGAATTATTTACAGGCGAGCCGGGGGGATGAGGGTTTGGTAAGTCGGGTCACTGTCAATGCAAAGCGGTGGAAAAGTTGGCAACAACAAGTTGCCGGGACAAGGATTATTACAAGGATTCAGCGGGAGCGTGGTGCGATGAAATATCTCGCACTACCGAGTATTGTCCTCATGCTGACGGCATTCCCATTGTTGGCGCTAATGACACTTTTATAACTTTTTATAGATTTTCCACACATAATGTGAACTCTTGGGCCATTTATCGTGCCAACGGCGACAACAATCCTTTTTGTACGACAGCATAATAATATATATAAACGCCGTCTACGTTTATTTCGCCTTTCTTCTCGAAACTTATTTACGAGAATGTGCGGAAGAGGCTGCCGGATTTGCAGGGCGGGTGAATCTAGTATCTGGTGAATAGTATCTAGTATCTAGTGTGTGTGTGTACTGAAGTGGTTCGCCTCAGGGCGCACACTGCGCGTATACGCAACGTGACGCATACGAAACAGGAACGAAACAAACAAGCCGCAATATAATTTCGCAACAAATTTCAAATGCTAGGCATGAACAACTTTTAAACTTACCCCCCACACAAAAAAACACATCGCATCGGGATCTGGGTTGTATATGTTCACATAGTAACGTGGATGCGTGGCAGGTTAAATTTAGAGGCGGATAAATACAGCTCGGTATGGGTAAATAAGCAAAATCAAAAGTAATCATGATGATGTTTGAACAACCCACACGAATTATCCTTCGGTTTTCCAGGAACGATTAGTTTTGATTGGTCTTAAAGTTGTTAAAGAATCGCCTCAATCATCGTAAATCGATAATTGTACCATTTGCTGCATCTTGTTAGCTATCAACACACTTTAAGATCGAATCTTTTGAGCCCTAGACACAAAATCTTTTCATATCTATATACTTTACAGAGCGATGATAAATGTTATCATGTTCAACGAAAAGACATTTATTTGTCCTAATGATAAGCTTTAAAGCAAATTCAAAAATCTTAGATAACAACAATTACAAATAAAGGATGATATGATAAGTTCTATGTCACATACTTTTATACATTCATACATCGGTCACTCACTTCTGTATTACATAATACGTTATTTAGCTTTGAATATAATCTAAAGTACCGGCTATATCTAGTTGAATACGCTCGCTCGGCTAAGCAAAAACAATGACTCAGCTGTGTGAGTAAAACAACATTTATTATCAGCTAGTACATCAGATTATAAATAAATGTAAGAAGCAGCGATTCAGTTTCAGTCTGATTAGAAAAGCTCGCAAGTCAACAGCGAAAATGTTGTATGAGCCCGAAACTAGTTATAATGAAATTGACAAGACTTGGAGGTCCGAAAAAGAGAAGCTACCATTCGGTGAGGACTTGTCCATAGGTGAAATAATCTTTCAACAAATGCAAGTTCATTCCAAGGATGTAGCACAGGTAAGCTTAAAAATGTTGGACACATTTTAATTGGATAATACGAAGGTTTCCTCGTAGATATCGGACTCGGAGGAGACGATTCTTTTGCGGGAGGATTTGCAGAGAAACGCCATTCGCATAGCCACTTTTATGCGCAACTTGGGACTGACTGAATCGGACATTGTGGGCGTTATAGCCAGGAATACCACCCATATCTCGGCCGTGGCCTATGCCTGTTTTTTCAATGGCATCGCTGTGCACTCGCTCAACACCACATATATACCGGAAATTATTGAAAAGCTCTTCGCGATAACCAGGCCTCGATTAATATTTTGCGATGGTGATGAGTTTGAGAAAGTTCGCGAGGCCACCGCGAAGTTGGACGTTAAGATAGTGACAATGCGCAATCATCCAGCTGGGACGCTTAGAATCGATGAGGTACTGAAGACGCCAGCGGAAGAGGGCTTTAAGCCCACTCGCTTAAAAGGGGGAACCACCCACCAATTGGCCATACTCAGCACTTCTGGCACCACCGGCACACCAAAGGCCGTGGTTGTGACCAATAGCCGCTCAATCCTTAATGGTTTCACGTAAGTCTATGCCTTATAATTAGATACATTTATTATATTCGGCCTTTCAGCAAGCTCACCACCGCAGATGTTCAATACTCATCCAGCACTCTCGATTGGGCTTCGGGCCTACTGACCTTGGCCTCAGCCGGAGTCTTCAGCACGAAGCGCATTGTCTCCGAAAACCCCTTCGCTCCCTCGGAGGCCCTTCGCATAGTCGAGAAGTACCAGGTCACCTGGGTTCTGCAGGCTCCGGCGCAAGTGGCGGCCATTGTTAGTTGTACGGACTTCGAGAAGGCACAACTTCAGAGCTTGCGTTATTATCTCTACACCGGTGGACGATGCACCATGGAGGTGCAGAAGAGACTGGGCAGGAAGATTGGCAACAAGATCCTGCACTTTGGCTATGGATTCTCTGAAATAGGATCCTTTGGCTGCCTCAACTGGCACTTCGATGCGAAGCCCAGTTCGGTGGGAAGGCCGTGTCCTGGCTACGAACTGAAGATCATCGACGATCAAGGCGAAAAACTGGGACCCAACGAAGAGGGCGAGGTATGCGTAGACATGGGAAGCTTTTGGCCAGGATACTACGGAAATCCCGAGGCCACGGACAAGGTGTACAAGGACAACTGGATTCACAGCGGCGACCTGGGATACGTTGATAGCGATGGCTTCCTGTACATCGTGGAGCGAAAGAAGGACCTGCTCAAGTACCAGAGCAACAAGTACTATCCGCATGAGTTGGAGGAACTAATAGCCGGAATGCCCGGCGTAGTCGAGGTCTGTGCCTTTGGCATTTGGAACGTTGAGAACGGCGACGAGGCAGCGGCCACCATCGTCAGGAAGCCAAATGTCCCTTTTAGCGAACAGGACGTGCTGGACTATGTGGCCCAGAATGCGAACACCAAGTTCCTGAGACTACACGCCGGCTGCCTAATTGTTGACGATCTGAAGAGAAGTCCCAATGGAAAAACAAATCGTGCCGCCAACAAGGAACACTTCATTCGGGCGAAGGGTATTCAGTTAGTTACTTAATATAATATGATATAGAAAGAGCCTAACCTACCTCAATATGTTAATAACTCTCTTAATTATATTGTAGGTAATACATACAAAACACAATTGCCATTTTGATTTTTTTTATTGCTTTGGGTAATAGAATTGTATTAATAGTAATTTTTGAATTTCACTAATACACCTCTTGAAAATGCCAGACAACCATTGTTCGCTGCCATTCGATTGGAATTAAACCCAACCGTCTCAGCTGACCTGAGATACTCTATTACTGGATGAGGTACGGCCACTTTTTAATTCCACTTACAGCACAAACGGTTGCTCTAATGAGAATTTATTCGCGAGAGTGTCTGGAAATGGCGTTTTAAAATGCAGCTCTGTTTTTGCACTGTAATCTGTGCACGCGTTCGCAGCCGTCAACTTGTGAGTGAGATTATGCCACACATGGCGAAGAACTTGATAAGGGAAGTAGGTTAAAGTAGAGCAAAGACTAAAACTTAACAAATACATCATTTTATACATAGAAGAGAATTAATTTTATACGACTAAGCTATAATATAAAAATTATAGGCCAAGGTATTAAAAAACCAAATTACCGAAAGTTTAGCCCGAATTTTGTATTATATATAAAATAATTCCTTATTGTCATTCCAAAATTATAACCAATTTGCTGATAGTTTCTCTCTGTGTACATAGAAGGGCATTTCACACAGGCAAACGTTCGTATGGACTACCATCTGTTGGCGGCATTTGTAACTGGTTGGCTTTTGTTCAAATTACAAGTTGCATTTTTGCCCGCCATTTGCCCCTCCTGTTGACAATGGCAGGACCTGCTGGCGTTGCCTCTGCCACTGTTGCCACTGTTGCCAATATCCTGGCATCATTGTTATTACTGCAGCCCGAACATGCGCCTGCTCGTTAGTTGGAAAATAGTTCCAGCGAGCCCTGTTTATTCGCCCAGTGTCCTTGTTTTCGCCAGAAACTTTGACATTTGATCAACACCATTAAAGGTTGGGTAGATGGTGGGGCTCAGATTAAAGCTGACCACCGGCAATTGGCATCGTTTGCTTTTATTTAGTCCTTCAGTTGTCTCTCCTTGCGGACAGTGCCAAATGTTAACAGGCAGCTTCCGGTTTCTATTGAGGTTTTTTCTCTACAGGGGAATTTAAATCTTCCTCTGAGTAACCCACTTTATATAAACCGCAAACAATTGCTAACGATGAGTCGAAATTGATTCAATTCATTAACGCTCAATTAAGCATGCTGATTTCGCACTCAGTCGATTGTAAATAAATAAATGCATACGAACGACCAATAAATCTTTTATTCATAATTGCGCGAGTTCATGAATTCTGACAAATTGTTCGCACTCTCCGTACTTTATTATTTATTCATTCTGAATAAACTTAATTTGTCTGCGATTTTAAATTTTTTGGTCATTGGTGTGGGATGAAACTAACATGGATAGCGAGGAAGGTACTTTTTTGGAATTTTTAATTTTAAATTTTAGATTCGGTTTAGCTCTCTAAACTTTGTTATTAATTTACTTTGTCCATTTGATTAAACATTTTTGAGTCAAATATGGCCAGCATTGTGTTAAGAGCTGCTAAATAAAATGTACTTAAAATGTATTCGCAAAGCTATCGCCGATTCCGCGTATCTTTTATTAAGGCGCCTTTAATTTATTTTTAGTTTATACTCGTACTTTCAGGTCGTACTTGGCACTAACAGCTCAATAACTAGTTTGTTTAATGATGCCAGTTTCTTTGATTATATTAAAGTCTGTATAATGTAATATTGCAATATTTTAATGGCTTTGCTGTAATTATATACCTATTTAACATTTTCTAAAGTCTCAAGAGTTAGGATATTTCCTATACCTTCATTCTATCTCTTAATAAAAAATGATTGAATTTTAACAATTTATTTCTGGCAGTAAAAGAGATGTACTTTGTTGTAATTTTAATTTATAGCTGGATTGACTAGTCAGCTTGGTTTCAGTTCGCATATAAGAGAGCCCAATAGGCTGATGACATCGCATTGTTACCGAAGTCTTTTAATCGTGAAGATGTGGGCTCTGACTTTACTGATCTCTCTAGCGACTTTGACTTTGGGTAAATGTAAAGCTGTAAGTTCATTGGCCAATTAATGTGATTTATTTTTAAGTTTCAGCAATTCAAGGAGCCTCAGTTGTCCAAGAATGTGGGAAATTTAATGAAGAGCAGTTCAGGAATAAAAATAGTATTGCGGAACCAAACGAACATCCATGGATTGGACAGATCATAAGTACAGATATTGATGGAAAGAAAAGATTGATTTGCGTTGGCGTCCTTATAGATGCCCGACATGTGTTGACAAACGCCCAATGTGTTTACCATCATCCTTTAAGAACAATTTCTGACATTGTTTTTGGAGACTCGGATTCCAGCAGCACATATCTTATCAGCTCGGTTACCATCCATCCGGAATATTCTAGTGAAAAACTACAAAACGATTTGGCCATTATTAAACTCACCAAAGACGTTGAATTCACTGGTTTCATTCAGCCCATTTGCTTGCCTTCGGCGGAAAATCACAAAGGCGAGGTCCCCGATTCGGATCTCATCGTTGCGGGATTCGACGGACCAAATATTAGGCACGATCCTTCATACAAGCGGTCGGATAAGCGGATAAAAATGGCTTTTAACAGAACCAACAGCAGTGAGTGCCAAAAGCTAGAGGAACGTTTCCCATTGGAGCTGATCTGCGGGCAAGATGTGGGATCTTTATCGGGTCTCTTATCGGGATCCGCTTTGCAAGAGGCTTCCGGGAATCCCCGGAAGTTTCATTTGATTGGCATCGTGACGATTGGATTTGGCACCACCGATAAATCGTACACGGGCTATTTAAGCGTTCGACATTACTTAGATTGGATCCGCAAGACAACTTCAGAGTGAAGAAGGTATCTAAAATCAGATTTCAATAGTTGGTTTTACTAATAAAAACTCAAGTTCTGACGGACATTTTGTGGTTATTTATTGTGACATTGGTGGAATACGCTCTCTCTCTAAACTCGCCCGGTCTTAAATACCAGATGGAAAGGTTACTGGCATCCTATGTCATATTCCGAGACTCTTAAGAGGATGCTTCCGAAGAAGACTCATACTTGCGATTTTTCCAAAGGTCGTCCTCTTACAACTTGAGTTCGTTCAGTATTGCATTGACCTCTGCATCTAATCCTAAAATCTATTTATCGCCTTTTGAAATTCAAATGACTTTGATCTTTTTAGAAGTTTATCACCTTAATCGTTCAACGTGGTGTATAAATTGTACCAGAATAGCAATCCATACGGACGTGATAACTAGAATAATAATATCGCATAAATTAAAATACCATCCGCACAATATAGTTGTATGTATGTAGTGTACTGCATTGAATAATTATTGTAACCAAGTCGTTGCTATAACTAAATTCTAAACCTAAAAATTCAAGTTTTTACGGGCATTTTGTGGTTAATCTTCAAATCTTCACTTATATTTGGTATAGACTACTGTAATCCAAGTGTGATTCATCTAATTAAAAGTTCATTTACTTACTCGTTCAACCAGGTGTGTAAATTTTAATTGTATATCAATTCATACAAACGAGATAAGTTGAATATTATTACCGCACAAACTTAATTAACTTCCGAGAAATATAGTTGTATGTACTGTATTGAATAGTTATGATAATCAAGTCGTTCCTATAACTGGCTTAAAAGGCCAGACTGATCTCAGTTTTCCCAGCTTATAAGAGACTCAGAATGAGTGCACATATCCCAGTGCTACTACAATTTTTCAATCAATAAGATGTGTTATCCGCGCTTTCTGGTTTCCCTGACTATTTTAACCGTTTTACTTTCAAGCAAAAGTTCTGAAATGTGTTTATCTGAGACTTGAAATTATTAATGTATAAATTGCAGCAATCCAAGGAGCTTCAGTTGGCCAAGAATGCGGAAAATACAATGACGATCAGTTCAAGAATAACAAAAGTATTGCAGAGTCAAACGAACATCCTTGGATTGGACAGATCGTAAAAACGAATGGCGATGGAAAGAATGAATTGGTCTGCGTTGGCATCCTTATAGATGCCCGTCATGTGTTGACCGCCGCCCACTGCGTTTCAACTGGCAAATTAAGTGATATTTCTGGCATTGTTTTTGGAGACTCGGACTCCAGCAGCACAAACTCTATTAGCCGGGTCACCGTCCATCCAGATTATTCATTGGACAAACGACAAAACGACTTGGCTGTAATTGAGCTCACAAAAGCCGTTGAGTTTACTGATTTTGTTCAACCCATTTGCTTGCCTTCGGCGGAGGAACACAAAAGTGAGGCTCCCGATTCGGATCATATCGTTTCGGGATTCGAGGGACCTTCATATCGTAGGCATGATCCCGCATATAAACGGTCGGATAAGCGCATAAAAACGGCCTTTAAAAGAATTGACAGCAGTGAGTGCCACAAGCTGCAGGAGCGATTCCCAGTGGAGCTGATCTGTGGCCAAGACGAGAAGGACGCACTCGTTGCCCTATCGGGATCCCCTTTGGCAGAAGCTTCCGGGAATCCGAGGAAGCTCCATTTAATTGGCATTGTGACGGTTGGATTTCCCACTAGCGACAAATCGTACACGGGCTATTTAAAGATTCGACCCCACTTAGATTGGATTCTCAAGAATATCTAAAATCAGATTTGATCAGTTTGAGTTATAAATAAAACGTCATGTTTTTACGGAAATTTTGTGGTATTTTTTTGTCTCGTCATTATTTGGGGTTATTTATTTGGGGTATAGCATTCAGAGAAGAGTTAGAGGAAAAACATTTAGGTAATATTAATAATGAAATAATTTACATCATCCATCAATCTAATGAATCAAGTCTTACGGAAATTTAATGGTTATTAATGGCGGTGTCATATAAAACTTCAAATAAACATTTGGCGATTTAAAAGCAACTGCACTCTAATTTGTAATTTAGTTTCATCTAATTACAAGTTCATCACTTAACTCGTCCAACTAGGTGTATAAATTGAAAATGAATAGCAATCTATACAATTGATGAAAATGTATAAAATAAATTAGAATAATAATATCGCATAAATTTACATACCTTCTAAGAATATAGTTGTATGTAATGTCAAGTAAGTATTGAATAATCAAGTTGTTACGATAACTGGCTTGTTAGGCCAGATTGATCCTCGTTTGACAATGAGCCCGAGTAGACTGAACATATCTCAGTTCAACTATAATATTTCGATGGATAAGATGTGTTCTCCGAGCTTCCTGATTTCACTAGCGGTTCTCACAGTTCTACTTCCGAGTAAGAGGACTAAAAAGAGTTTATTTGAAAACTGATTATTATTCGAATTGCAGCAGGCCAAGCTGCTTTAGATGCCCCAGAATGTGGTAAATTCAACGAGCAGCAGTACAAGAGTAACGAGCATCCGTGGATTGGACGGATAGTAGATGAAAAGGATCGATTACTCTGCGTTGGCACCCTTATATATACCCGTTATGTGGTGACAACCGCTCACTGCGTTTCAACTCGGTTTAGGAATCACATTTCTAAAGTCATTTTTGGCAACTTAAAATCCAGCGACAGCTATGAAATCAGGTCGACCTTTGTCCATCCGGATTATTCAGCTGAAAAATTTGAAAACGACTTGGCCATAATCGAGCTTACCAAAGAAGTTAATGTAACCGAGTTTGTTCAACCCATTTGCTTGCCTTCAGCAAAGGATCCAAAGGATGAACTAAAAGTTGTGGGATGGGAGGGACCTTTAAAACCAAGGAATGGACCTGAAACGACGAGGTTGGATAAGCGCATTAAAATGGCCTTCACTAGACCTGATAGCCAGGAGTGCGACGAGCTGCCAGCTCATCTGATCTGCGGCCATGCCGAGAAGTCTCCCCTTTCAGGATCTGCATTGATACAGGCATCCGGAAATCCGCGGAAGTTCCATCTAGTTGGATTTGCGGTCGCTGGCATCATCAAGCCCGGCGGTGTTCAGGGATACTTAAACATTCGGCCATACCTAGATTGGATCCGAAGATTATCAGAACCTTTATAAATATTACTTGTTCACATCTGTGTGCCAGGCTGTGAGATTGTACAGAGCTTGACTTATAAATACAAATTTGACTTCTAATGGTAATTGATTAAATCCAAGTTCTACATGAATGTATGTTCATAAAGTTTCAAATCTGGCTTGTTCTTGATATGAGCTAAGGATTTTAAGATAACACCTTGATTGGATCGACCGTAATACCTCTGAGTGAAGTTGCCTACGCAACTTTCCTCATTAGTAACAAGATTTTTAATTTTTGGCTACCAAGCTGTGACTTCTGACAGGTTGATTTATAAATAAAGAAGCAAGTTTGCGGTTATCCATTCGCGCGCGTGTAGTTGTTGCTGCTAATAAATTGAAAACGCTTTTGGGTTATTTGCACAAAGTTGCCGGTTGTCCTGACCCAAACCCAAATGCATAAATCACGCGAAGCCCCAAAACACAGTTGGGGTCCTTTTGCCATTGGGTTGACGCCTGCACGGAATTTAATTCCCAGCCACCTACCGCATCCTTCACCTTTTGGGGTCCTCGCAACTTTTGCCATTAGGCAACCACCCTCAACCACACCCACTCCCACTCCACGACCTTCTGTTTTCGAGGGAAATGCACTTTTTCGACACTTGGCTGGCGCCAAAAGCCTTAAGTACATATCAACTCGGAATAATTTATGTTTCGACTGGGGCAGCCGGCGAGCAACTAGCTTTCATCTTCGCCAGGGCAACCTTATCGAGTGGCAGCCATGGAATATGGAAATGCGAACGAGCAGCTGCAGCCATAAATTCATTGAAACGAAATGCGAAATACTCGTAATCGAGGCACTCGGGTGCAAGATTTACCCAGCCAATGAATCATACCTAATTGTCGCCCGAGTACTGAGCACTGAGTACCGATCGCAGTGAAGTAGCTCAAGTAGCAGTGAAGGATTCAGTGAAGTCATCATCATCGTTGAGCATACGCCCCGTGGGCAGGGGAATGATTAATGTGCCATAAAATGCGAGCGCCAAAAACATTCACAGCTACTCCCTAAACACGCAAGCAAATCGCAGAAGCAAGCCAAATTAAAATACACATTTTTATGGCGGTTTTTTATTGCAACACGTAAAGCACAAATTGAGACAAGATGGAGAGTGTGTAAGCCAATTGCGTGTGGCTGCTACAGGCAATTACAATTTTAAATGCAACGCACATAAAATGCACGGAATGTCTTTTTAAACGATAACGAGCTGCAATTACAGGGCAAGTCCCTCACTCCGCAATTAACTCATTCGTTATCCGACTTTGATGCAGAGCGGAGTGCTAAACGGAATGTAAATCATTATGATTTCATTCTGATTCATTCATGACCGTATGGGGTAGGTAACAAATTAATATTTTCCTGGTAACTCAATTTACAGACTCCATTACGGCCGGCAGTCCAAGTGATCTTTGGTTTTGGGAAATTATCAGAAGAAACAGTTGGTTGGGGTGTTGTTACCTCTATTGCGAATCTCTTAATGCTATGTTTGTCGTAAAAAAAATTTAAAGTTTTTAAGTTTGAATGCCAAGTTGGAACTGTTATTAGAAGTAGATTTAAAATAAGGAATTTTTTGAAAAATTTTACAAAATTGTTAATATTGTTGGTTTGAAAAAATGGTGTAAAAATAAAATTGTAATTTGTTGGTTATTTTATTACAAACACAACATGTTATGACATATCGTATTTTTACAATTTTCGCTTTGTTTACAGCCCTTCAATCCGGTGCTACAAAATAAAATAATATAAGGATTGTCTTTTTCTAAAACTACATAAAAAATCAGACTTTATTTTAATTTCCCTTCCGCTAATTCGTATTTTTAGTTAATATAAATACACCTACTTGCAATACTGAAATCGCAGCCAATAATTAAAATTATTTTGAGTCTGCTTCAGCTGCCGGAAATAAACTATTCAAATCTAGATTACAGTGAAATACAAAATTCAAAAATAACGGATGCCCAAACCTTTTTTTGCAGAGCTGCCGGACTAATCGATAATGAATGATTTATCGATGTGCGGCACATATCGATGATCTATCGGCGGCTGCGTGCGAATGGCGCCAGGTAGCATCACTAAAGAAGAAGAATTTCCCTCCAAAATATCACGGTTTATTTTGCCAACAGCGAGCTAAGAATTTGTTTACCAACTGAATGAGTGAGCCAACTCGATGAGCACCATCCTAGACAACTTTCGAAGCGCCGAGAAGATCGGCGAGGGCACCTACGGGATAGTTTACAAGGCGCGGAGCAACGCCACCGGCCAGGATGTGGCGCTCAAGAAGATTCGGCTGGAAGGGTGAGTTAACTGGAGCAGGATGCCCAGTTCTACACAAACGGTGAACCGCAAATCCAAATAACATTCATATGTGGATCCTGGATATCCTAACATCCTGGGCGTGTCCTTGGCGAATGTCACCCACCTGCACCCCGCAGCCCGGATTTTGTGGGGGCTGCGCTGTTTCTGCCTCCAAAATCCGTAGCACCACATGATTCGGCTTCGTGGTGCAGGACAGCATCTAATCTCTCCACCAAGAGCTAACTAATATTACCATCAATTAGTACACCTTTTTAATAACATTTATACCCTCTCCCAGCGAAACGGAGGGCGTTCCCTCGACGGCCATTCGAGAGATCTCCCTGCTGAAGAACCTCAAGCACAAGAATGTGGTCCAACTATTCGATGTGGTCATCTCCGGCAACAATCTTTACATGATATTTGAGTACCTGAACATGGATCTGAAGAAGCTGATGGACAAAAAGAAGGACGTTTTCACCCCTCAGTTGATAAAAGTATGTTTATTAATTCTAAAAGCCACTGAGCATTACATTTGTATCTCCTTTTCAGAGCTATATGCATCAGATATTAGATGCCCTCGGCTTTTGCCACACCAATCGTATACTGCATCGCGATCTCAAGCCCCAGAATCTACTCGTAGATACTGCAGGCAAAATAAAAGTAAGACTTCGAAGACTTTCCAACTTTATTATATGATAATAAATTGAATTCCCCTTTTAGTTGGCTGACTTTGGCCTGGCAAGGGCCTTCAATGTGCCCATGAGGGCCTACACCCACGAAGTGGTCACCCTTTGGTACCGAGCACCTGAGATTCTGCTGGGCACCAAGTTCTACTCCACGGGCGTAGACATCTGGAGTCTGGGCTGTATTTTCTCAGAGATGGTAAGGCTGGCATGAAATTTAGATTGCATCCCCTCTATTAATTATAAAATGTTAATCTACAGATCATGCGCCGCTCCCTATTTCCCGGAGACAGCGAAATCGACCAGCTCTACAGGATATTCCGCACCTTGAGCACCCCCGATGAAACCAAATGGCCGGGAGTGACGCAGCTGCCGGATTTTAAGGCCAAGTTTCCCAAGTGGGAGACAACCAACATGCCACAGACCATAACCGAACACGAGGCCCATGAACTCATTATGGTGGGTGGCGTAAAATTGAATTAAAAGCCGAAATCCATTGCTTTCTACTTTACAGTCGATGCTGTGCTATGATCCCAACCTGCGCGTCTCTGCCAAGGACGCCCTGCTGCACGCCTACTTCCGCAATGTGAAGCATGTTGACCATGTGGCCCTGCCCGTGGATCCCAATGCGGGCAGTGCCTCGCGTTTAACGAGGCTCGTGTGATCGTGTGATCGTGTTTCCAATAGCAACAGATCTAGCAAATTACTTGTGATCTTTAGTATAGTAAGTTCAATGTCTACCTCATTAACTTTAAGCTGAAACTAGTGCAATTATATTCGGAATTCTAATCTCTCTTGCAGCTGCCAGCTCCATTTCATGCATTTACCACCCGCATTTATCACTCGCATTTAACACATACGATAAATACACGATCATCCATACGTAAAGAGTTTATTCAAGATAGTTTAGCACGGATCACCAGGCGCCCAGACGGAACAGGCGGCGTTGATGGTGGCGGGGCGAAACTTTGGCCCCCGAATCAAGAGCTCCTCCTGCTCCATCGCTCGCGAGCCTCTGGCGCTGGCGGGTGTGGCGATCGTCGCGCATGTACGTGCCCAGACTATTGCGCATGCTCTCGGAGAGCGGTGAGTGGGTTGCGATATCGCTGTCGTCTTCATCGTTTGTCGTTGCAACGCTCGCTGCGCTGCTGTCGGTTTCCTCCATCGTATCTTCGTTCTCACTGGTCGTTTCTGGCTTGCTCACTTCCGTTAGCTTTGCCGTGGTTTGGCCCTTGGCCGATGAAACGGCTAGCGGGCGCAGCAGGGTCACCTTCCGGGTGCCCAGCCTCCTTACCACGGGCTCGCTCTCCATCTCCTCCGGATCGCCCTGCTGCTGGTCATTAAAGTTGTTGTAGAAACTAGCTTGGAAATCCTGCGGACTGAAGCGCTGCACCCCGTAGTAGCTGCCGGAGTTGGAGTCGTAGAAGAACATGGGCTCTGCGGACGACGGCGGAGGAGGTGCCGCATAGTAAGGATCGTAGGGACTGTAGCTATCATCATCATTCTCCTCCGACTCCTCGTAGATGGGTCGTCGCTTCTGTTGCTTGCGGCGCTTTCGCTTGCGCTTGTTGGAACTCGTTGAAGCCACCGGTGCAGGTTCCTCTTGCGGCAGCTCCTGATCCTCATCGTAGGACTGCAGGTAGACGGGCGAAGTCTCAATGATGTTGGCACTCCCGTCGTTGAAGAAGTTGGCCAGTGGATTGGTCAGGTTGCGGAAGCTGAAGGCGGGCTGAACACTGCGAACGAAACTATTCCAAACACGAACCAAAGGACGTTCGGTGGTGGTTGGAGGAGCAGCTTTGGCCAGGTTGTGGACATAACGTCTTTTGTAACCACCGCGAGCACTCGGCAGCAGGACATATTCGATGGGATAGTTCCTGGATCTGGAATTAAGATGTGATACGGTCGGTTTGAAAGCCTAACTATTAAGGATAATATCTAAAAATTCTTTATTTAAATACTATAGATTTTACTTAGAAAGTTTAATGTTCAAATGGTAATTTGTGATCTAAAATTGTAAAGCCATTGACCTTTCGAAGTTAAACAACTTTTCTGTTTAGAACTTTAAGTGTAAAGCTATTGCATATTATAACTCGGGCAAATATGTCAACGTGCACTGCTTCCTCACCCAATCTTAGCCTGCTTTTGCGGCGGACGCCGCTCAATTTCTAGGGCGGATATCCTAGCTGCTTGCGAAGGATAACTGCATGCCACAAAAAGCAAAACGGCAGCACACAATAGCCACTGCATAGCTGTAGAGTGTATCTTCCTTGGTCTAACAATATATTTCGAATGCGTCCGTTGCGGTTCCCGGTCGAAGGAAAACTAAAACTCCTCCGATTCGCGACTTGAGTTGTCAATAGCTCGACGACGCTGCCTTTGTCTTTTTCGACCGGCGCATCTCATTAGAATAGTTTTTATTGGTCCACCCAACGGTTAGCCAAAGTCTTAGCCAAATTGATTTGTAATGGCATTGTCCCAAGCCCCAGTTCGTGTTGGTGGCACTAACTCAAGCCGACACTAAACCAACTAACCCAATTTGGAGACCAGCTCCATCCCATTTCTCCCGCGGGGCTCGTTGGCAGCTGCCAATCTCGCCCATACATATGCAAATCAATTTTTATAGATTACACAATTAATACGCCATTCAAGGTGTTGCTGTGACTGCAAACTCGTTTGCTTGTGGGTTCTGATATTCAAATTTATGCTAAGCTGTCGGCGATGAGTAGTCGCTTTGCGAAATGCTTTCTCCAGACGAATTTGTGTTTATGAGGGCTTCTCCTTATCAAGATTCTACGATCCGGATTCTCATCACTTATTGGCGTATTAATGGGTGCATTTTCTTGGAAGGTTTGAGTTTTTATGGCATAACAATGCTGATTGTGATGGAAGCTAAGCTCCAAATGGACACATTAGATGGATTTGACCAATTTGGCAATCTTTATTACTAATGAAATTGGAGCATTCTAGAAATTGAGATGATATGTTTTCGTCAAAGTGAAGTCATGGGAAAGAAATGTCACACTTTCTAAAGACGTTTAAGGTTACTTCTAGTAATATTTAACTAGAACTATTTTATTAATTGAATACATCAAAAACTATCCACTTAAATCGATTCTGATTTTGGTAAACTAAATAGAAAAACACAAATCAATTGATTTGGCAAATACAAAATACAATCACAATTACTGATTTATTATTTTATTGACCATTACGAAATTAATTATTATCATAAATATTATTATTATAATTGCCATAACTAATATCTCAAAAATAGTGTTTAAAACTCTCATTTAAATTATGTCGCTTTAACAGAAAAGGTTTAGTTTAAACGACTGTGCAATATAATGGCCATGAGTGAAATTGCCATATAAACTCAGTTTTATTGACTTTCTATAAATTATTTTGAACCGGCAATCACGGAATGTGAAAATCCTTATCAGCCGAAATCGCAAAACAATTTATTGAGGCCTTCGAACAGCTGAACGATAAAAAAGCAGGGGCAAAAACAAAACAAAAGGCAAAAACAGCAAAGAAAATTCCTAACAAGTGTTTTTCTTTTCCAAGCCAATGGGAGAGGAGAGGAAAAGCGTGGGCCCGCAGCGAGAGGGCTTTTTGGCTGGGAGAGCCGGGAAAAGCTCAGACTTTGGCTTGGCCACTGGCGAGGCAGCTCAGGAAACTGAAACTGAGGTTCGTTCAGTCGACTTTGAGATTCCTGGCCAGAAACGACAGCCTAACGGTTTCCCAGGACGGCCGCGCGTCGTGTGCTCTAGAAAAGGAAAGCTGGAAAAACGCCAGCAGCTAACGCCAGAAACGCTGCTGTCACAGTTTCCACCTAAGTCGAAGGAAAACAAGTCAAAAGGCTCGCTCAAGTGGCAGTTGCTTTTTTTGGGCCAAGCCAGCGGTGTGTGTGTGTTAGCCCTAATGCCTTTGTGAAAGTGAGCCAGTGTATCTGGCCGCCTGCGTGTGTGCGTGTGTGTATCTGGATACAGTATCTGTGTGCGCCAACGTTTTGTGTATCCGTGCAGCGTTCTGTTTCCGTTTCCCTGTTTCCCGAGCTGCTCCAAATTTATACCCCAGCATATTTTTGCACATTTAATTGAATTAAGTAAAGGGCTCAGCTCAACCGCGGAGAACAGTGTCGCCAGTCCAGCTGAGTTCTTTTCAGTCCAGTCCGCTCGCTATCTTTATATAAGAGAAAAGAGCTCGGAAAGGCCAGAGAATTGCGTAAAGTTTGTGTACCACGTAGCATGTACCATGTGGTTGTGCCTGTGCCAGTGCCGTGGGAAAATGACATTAAGTGCTTAAGTAAATTACATAAAAAAACATTAAACGCCTCGACGAGCATCTATAACTCGAAGACATCCAAAGCGACAGCTGTGCGGCCTGGAAAAACACTTTCCCCTTTTCCCTCCCCGCGCCCCTTTTTAGGCAGGATAAACGGATTCGCCAGGCAATTTCCCTTGCCCTGTTTTCGTGGCAAAATGAAAAATTCAACCGTCCCAGGCTGTCGCAACTGTCTGTGGGGGCGCGGTGGGTGGTTGGGCTAGATTTTCGACTACTGTCAAGGTGTGCGCCAACCTCAAGGCCTAGTCACTAACCCTAAGCCCAACCACAGGCGCGTGCATATGAACGAACTACGTACAGGTGCACAGGTTCGAGACAGCGAAAAAAAAGAGTTTGTTTTTTAGAAATTTATTTACCAATTACACTTTATTTTAAAATGTAACCATAGTTAGTAGCAAATAATTAAAAATTAACAAGAAATACTAATAACCTAGTTATGTGGCCCATAAATAGGCTATCTTTTAATCATGAAATTTAGTTTGAACAAAGGTAAAAGGCCATTCAACTATGGTATACCTTTTAGACACCCTATAAGCATTTGGTTTACCAATTTGTTTCCCTGAGTCCCAGGTGACTGGCGTGGTTGTTGCTGTTGCTCAGGTGTCTGACTGCCACTGTTTTTGGCGTCACTTTCGTTTTCCTTCTCGCATTGCCCCCGTTCAAGTGCTGTGCTTGACCATAACCACTAAAAGTGTCACATTGCGTATACGCCGCGTGGTGCCCTCGACCGAGGTGTGTGTTTTTGTACTGTTGGCTGTTTTTCGCTCTTATTGTGCTTGTTGCTGTTGTTGTTGTAAGCTCGTTTACTTTTTGGCCAACACACCACCCACACAAAGCTGCTCTCGCTCTCTTTGGGCTTCTCTTTCGCGCGTTCTCCTCTCTTGCGCACTTTCTCCCGTTCAGCTGTTTGTTTTGTTTTGAATCGCATTTCTCCTCTCGAACGCAGAAGGGCGCATGGAATGCGCTGTTTATCCCCCGTCGGTCATCGTCATCTGGTCACGTTTTCCTGCTCCTCGAGACGCTCATGACGGGCAATTTAAATTTTATTGTGATTTTTATTCCCGGCAAAAATAAACAGCGAGCGTCATTTTTCTTAGCGCTGCTTTATAGAGCAATTTGGCGCCCAAAAGAATGCCTCGGCACGCCAATAAAAGCGATGTGTCTACATTAGCTTGACGAGTCTTTCGGGGCAGAGAAGGGTGATGATAAAGGACGAAACTTACCAGCCATTTAATATTTAATCCTCTTTGTTGCTCTGCCTATTTTATGCAAAAAGGAAGTCCATCCGACACATTAAAACAACTTTTTCACATAAAACTGAGCCCATTCAGTGCACAAAAGAAAAAAATAAACACTAAATCTTCTCACTACCTTTGATTCCACTAAAAACAAACTGTTTTTCCTAAATTTAAAACCAAAACTTTTATAAATTTTTTTTTAATTTCAGTGAGTTTCGTGAAAATAAAATTGTTTGTCAAAAATTTTAAATTTGAAATAAATTGATTTTTTTAACTAAAGTCTATGTGATAACCTTAATTGTACTTTTTTTTTCGAAATATCACAAAAAAAGAACGTAAAGGACTTGTCTACATATTGATGACTATTTGTTGTTCTCTCTGTAAAAGTGTTCTCCTCGTAGATTTGCTCGATTTCTGCCAGTTAAGTCAATGTCTTGGCATTCGTCCAATGGCAAGGCAGCCCAAAACCTCGCTCACCACCCACCCTTTCAACCATTCGGCCCCCCCAGGGCTTCCGTTTCCGTTCTGCTGGGTATTTGCAACATTTTCGGCTGTCTCCTGTCGACTGCCAGACTTTCGTACCCACTGAGAAAGGGGGGCGCGCGGAGAAAGCGATGAAATTTGCATATTCCTCGCATTAGCCAACTAGCGGCGGCTGCGCTGCGCTGAGTGACTGCTCATTAAAATGCTATAAGTGTAGGAACAATTTGCATGTTGCACGAGCTTCGAGCAGCGAGCTGAATAATTAACACCCCAGCAAGACCTGTTGGCAGCTGGCCTTTTCTCTTGTGTACTTTATTCAGCGCTCAGTGGCGTACAATCAGTGAGTTGGAATTCAGCTGGATGAAGTCCATGTAGTTCCGGATGGCCAGGAAGCTGGACATGACCCGTTCCTTATCCCAGCCCCAGTCGATCAGAATGCCGACCAGGTAGAAGTTCTGGGTGAAGGATCCCTTCTTCTGCATCCCCACCAGCGGGGCACCCAAGTAGTAGGCCTCCTTTCTGGCGTGGTAGCCGCACACAGTATTGCTGCTGGTGACCAGCGACTTGACCCTCGACTGGCAGTGCGACCGGCTGAGCGTGTTTACCCAGGTCTTCAGCCGCAGATCCTCGAAGACTCGCAGACCAGACACTATGAAGGTCTGGGCCACCAGGGTGTCGTTGAGCAACTGAAGCGGCGGCATGCAGATGGGCATCACGTTCGGATTGATTTTGGCGTCCCGCTGCAGGGTGAGCACGGCCAGGGTATTCTTAAGCGATCGCGAATCGTACTCCGGATGGATAGCGATCTCGGCCAGCTTGATCTCCTGGGCAGGACGCGTGCAATAGCCGTCCGTTTCGCAGACTCGCACTCCGACGGGAGCACTCTTGTTGTGGACACCGAGGTGCACGGAGAAGGCCTCGGCCACCCCGTTGTACTGGACAAAACAGTGGGCGGGGGCCAAGACATTGCGCTTCGATATCAGCACACCCAGGCAGCCATTGTCCTTGATCTTGCCCTCAAAGCCTGAATTAAGCAGAGCAAATAGAACAAGTTTTATCTGGAAACTTCTTGGGATTCTTACCCTTGCTATAAACTATTCGGGCCACCCACTGGTGCTCGGTGGGAATGGCAAAGCCGTTCTGCTTGAGCATCTGATCCTCATTGAATGACCCGCATTCCTCCTCCTGCGCCGATTGCACAATGAAGCCAAAAAGGCCCACAAGCAACGCGATAACTGTGATTCGTCCAAGCATTCTCAAGCGCAGCTAAAAGTTAACTAACTGGGAGCTGGGAAAAACGAAAGGTTTCCGACTACATTTCACAATGCAATTCATAGGGGGTTTTTCCAGAAGCTTATGATCTTTGCGAGAGCTACGACGCAACACTGCGAGAAGTTTATGGGCTTATGATTAGTTAACTTATATTTATTAAATTAGTTTATACCTTATTTTGGGTTTTCTGCTATTTTTTCGATATTTAATATGTGTTTTCCCTCCAAATACATCAATATTATCGAATCAATATTGCGAAAATATCGAAAATATTGATAATTTTCAAGCTCAATTGCATACATATTGATACAGTTTTTGTACAACCTCCTCTTATATCTTTTTTTTCAATTTGAAAATACCCCTTTACTTTAAAATTTAAATTCCAAACGGTTAGAACACCCGATTCTAACTTATTTTCGCCGTGCGGAAAGATGTTTGCTAGAATTTCCATTTTACTCTTCCAACTACCTGTTTTTCTACGTTTTTAGCAATCGCTTTATGATTACATTACCAAGATCGATTGAAAACCCGTTTCCGATGCGGAACCCTGGGCAGCTCCCATCACGATGCATCAGTGATTTCCCTGAACCCGCAAACATTTTACTTCCTCCTTGGTGAATTTAATTAATAACTTTTATTTATTCACAAAACAAGTTGTACTGGGGAATTTTCCTACTTCGTATTCTCCTTTATCCAGGAGCGGGCGCGTCGAACGTTTTGATAGACCTGGGTGGTGGCATCGGTATCCACATTCCGCACCAGAATGGCCACCAGGTAGAAGCTATGGGGCTTTTCCTTCCGCACATCGATGTCCATTAGCGGAGCACCCGGATAGAACTTGGTGCGGGTGACGGGATAGCCGCACATCTGGTTGGCCGGAAAGAACACCGTGGAGGAGGTCAGTTGCTTGCACTTCCGCGTGGACACCGTCATGGCCAGACCCTTGCCCCGGTTGTAGCCGCCGCCATTGAAGCCGGAGTAGTGCAGATTTCGGTTGGTCAGCGTCTCCGGCTCCGAGCTGCCCTCCATGCAGATCGGCTGGATCCAGAAGGTCCACTCAATTGGCTTCGCCAGCCGCAAAACGGCCAAGTCGTTGTCCCCCGTGTCTCGGTCCCTCTGCGGATGCACCTTGATATCGACTACTTTGTAGGCCTCAGGACCCGGTACACAGAAACCGTTATCGTTGCACACAAGCTCCTCGTCGGGTGAGTGCTCCTCGTTCCAGACTCCCAGCAGAGCCACGGCTCCAGTGTCCCCGGATCGGTTCCTAAAGCCCTTTACACAGGTTGCCGTCGTGAGGACGTGCAGCTCGTTGATAATGACAACGTTGCACTCCATCTTTTTGAAACTATTTCCTGTGAATTTTCAGGATTGTTAGGTGCAAATACCACACCAGAAGTACAGGCTCACCTTCATCCTCCAGCAGGAGGCCTATCCAGGGATTCTCGGAGGGAATTGTGTCCTCATTGGTGGTGTACAATAAATTCTCATCCAGACGACCGCATTGTGGCTCTGCCAATGCCAAGGCTGCCAATTCATAGCGCATGTAAAAATGACTATAAAACCTTTAAACTATATTTTCTGGACTTACCTCCCAGCCAAGATAGAATCAGAAGCTGAACAAGTTTTCCGCTCACAATCACTTCCATGACGATTTGCTCCAAGTGCTCAGAGTTAACTGAGATTACTATGGCATCGAATCGAGCTTAGTTGCATTTTGTAATAAATACTATTTTGAAAAATTTTCCGCTCTCTCGCTGTTGAAATCAACACTCAAAGAATTTTTAGATGAATTCGTAGCTTGTTAACTGGTCTTTTATTAATTATCATTTTTGGGAACTAATACTACAAAATTATGCTTGGTTGCCGAAAACATAACAATAATCTATTGAAATTATAAAAATGGTTCTTGAATATTAATTAATTCTTTATGTTCAAAATTTCAATTCATTTTGGTTTAAAATATTACAAAATATTATTATTATTTAATTGTACTGTTAACATTTATTTCGAATAGTCTTTCTCTTATGTTATTAAAATTCATCTCACGGTCGAACTATCAGTGAGTCGGAATTCTTGTGAATAAAGTCTAGGTAGTTCCGGATAGCCAGAAAGCTGGCCAACATGCGTTTGTTGTCCCACTTGATGTCGATCTGAAACCCGACCAGATAGTAATTTTGGGTGACGTGCCCCTTGACCTGCATCCCCACCAGCGGTGCCCCGTAGTAAAATCCCTCCGCTCGGGTGTGGTAGCCACACAGCGTATTGCTGCCGGTCAAAAGCTTGTTGTTCCTCGACTGGCAGAAGGAGCGACTGTGCGTCGTCACCCAGGTCTTTTGCTTCAAGTCCTTCCAATAGCTCAGCCCAGCCACCACAAAAGTCTGACCTACACTCAGAAAATGAATCGCCCTGAATTTTAGAAAATCGCCTATGGATTTGCTTCACTGGCGATTTTTTTCTTTAAAATAAAAAAATTTTCTACTGGTAAAGAAAATTTTCTTCCAAATAATCAAAATTCATTAAATTCAAGAAATATTCCAGAAATATAGAAAAAAATCGCCAGTAAAGCAAATCCATAGGCGATTTTCTAAAATTTTTTTTTGAGTGTACCAGCGTCTCGTTGGCCAACTGGGGAGGCGGCATGCAGATGGGCATCACGTTCTGACCCAACTTGGCGTCCTGCTGCAGCGTTAGAACAGCCAGATTGTTTTGCAACGTCTTGGGATCGAACTCCGGATGAACGGCCACCTCGGACAGTCGAATCTCCTGCGCAGGCCGCACACAATATCCGTTGCTAAAGCAGAACGGCACTCCGACGGGAGCACTCTTGTTGTGGACACCCAGATGCACGGAGAATGCCTTGGCATCCCTGTTGAACTTCACAAAACAGTGGGCGGGGGCCAAAACAGTGCGCTTCGATACTAGCACACCCAGACAGGTGTTATCCAAAGCCCCTGAAAAATATATAGATAGTTCATATCTCTCTCTGGAAACACCGGTATGCATACCCTTATCGACAACCACAATCCGCACAACCCACTGATGCTCGGACGGAATGGCTTCGGGCGCCACCATCTGCACTTCGTCGAAAAATCCGCACTCGGGCTCCTCCAACTTCTCCAATTGCACTTCGATTGCAAGGGAGAATAGTAAAAACGAGATCACAACAAGCCTTCCAAGCATTTTGAGGCACTGCTGAAAGTCAACTGAGAACTAAACCGACTTAAACCAAGCAATACACGGCTTATTAATATTAGTACACTGGGAAAAAAATAGCATATAAAACTATAATTCTTTAAAATTTCTAAAAATTGATTACTTAAAAACGTTTAACAAAATAATATAAAAATGCCTTAAAAAACAAAATACTTAAATTTCCGTTGATAGCATCTAAAGAGAGAGAAAATATCAAATGAATTGGAGAAATCATATTTAAATTGTTCGGTTGAAATGACTAAATGCTATTGAAAACCCGTTTCCAATGGGGAAGTACAATACACCTCGACTTCTAAGTTCTATGAATTTTTATTACTATTAATCATAAAATAGGTTAGGTTACTTCGTTGATGAATTCTCCATTATCCATTTGCGGGCGGGTCGCACATTTTGGTAGATATGAACTGGAACCTTTCCGAACCAGCAAAGCAACCAAGTAGAAGTTGTGAGGTTGTTCCTGCTGCACATCTATGTCCATTAACGCCGTACCCGGATAGAACTTGTCGTTTCTCACCGGATAGCTGCACACCTGGTTCTCAGGTGTCAGGACAGCGGCTGATGACTGGTACTTGCAGTTCTGCCGCGAGATCGTCATGGCCAGAGCCTTTATCCTGAAATCGTTTGAATCGGTGAATCCGGTGTAGTGCAGGTAGCGGTTGGTCAGCGATTCCGGCTCCGAGCTGCCCTGCATGCAGATCGGCTGTACATATTGGGTCCACTTGATTGGCTCCTTCAGCCGCAGGATGGCCAAGTCGTTGTCGCCGGTGTCACTGTTCGATTCTGGGTGCACCTTAATCTCGACCACGTCGTAGAGCACTGGACCTGGCACACAATAGCCCTTCTTGTCGCAGGAGAGGTCGTCCTCTGGTGAGATGGTCTTGTCAAAGACACCCAACATTGCTACGGCTCCAGTGTCTCCGGATCGGTTTTTGAAGCCCCTAACACACGTGGCAGTGGTCAGGACGTGGAGCTCGTTGATAATGACAACGCAGCATTTCAGATTCTCGTGCTTATTGCCTGGAAATCATATGATATAAAGAAAGGGCAAATAATGCAGGTCTCTTGTAGTTTGAATACTTCGCAAGGTTCTTAAAATTGTAAAGGGAGTCTTTTTATCTGAAAGCTTGTCAAAAATAATAATTTTTGAGTATTTTTATTTATTTTTTACCCCCCGTCATTTAAAGATATAAATTAATTAAACAAAAAAAGCCTCGCCATAACTTCGCATCTGTCAAATACATTTTTTTTAACTTTTTAAAAATTCTTTTTAAATGATGTAATATTGTAATAAATATGAGATATCGTTTTGAGACCATTAAGAAAATCTTGATACGTTCCAAAAAGGATCACTCATATATAGATGCTTATAGAAGCTTATTTACAATCATAAACTCACCCCTATGCTCCATCAGTATGCCCATCCAGGAATTCTCTGTGGGCTGTATTCTAAGCTCGGTGGTGAACAATAATTTCTCCTCCAGACTGCCGCACTGGGACTCTGACATTGCCAAGGCTGCCATTTAAAACAGCTTGTAAAATACAATAGTAAACATTTCAATAACCTGGTTTTTACTTACCCCCCAGATAAGCCAGAATTAAAAGCTGAACAAGTTTTCCGCTCACAAGTGTTTTCATGTCGATTTGCTCGAACGTCTCACGGGTGACTAAAAGCTTTTTCTCAGATGAAAACGACATTAGGCCGAGCTTAGTTAAGTTTATTAACAAAGGCGTTGCAAAAAATGCTATCAAAGTTGCAGATTCCAGGTCGACTTAAAATTACATGCGGTGAAGGTGGTCGGAAATCGATAGAATATTATTCCCAATAGCTCAAAATTACTGGCAATTATCAGGACCTTCATTATATAGCCATTAGGCTCTTGGAGTCTCCCCTTGGACCCTTCAGACTTGCATTTGCCGCCGACCGCCCACAACTGGGCTGAATAATTAATGTTTCAATTAGAATACTATTATCGGAGGCAAACAGAAGCCGCCGCTCGTCGGAGGGATGCGAAGGTGAAGGACACCGAAGGACATTGTAACTCATCCGGCTCAAAAGCGGGGGGCTGGACTTAACACTCTACTTAGAAGGCTTACAAATTGCCCGGCCAGATCCGGTTGGCAGTTTATTGTCCACTCAACTTGACCTGCTTGAGCTGGGGCGTTCATAATTCGCATTGTTATGAGCACAGGCCCCCGGGCCCCTCGAGCCCCTCGCCATCCGTCCAATCAATGGGCTCCTCGTCGGTTGCGGACTTTAATGAACGGCTGGTTGGCTGGTCATTCGGCGGTGCTCGTAAAACTTGGCTGCCCTAGCCTTGAGTGTGGCCTAGGCCAGTTAGGTGCTCCTGCCCCCCTTGGAAAAAAGGGGGAGGCACTGGTAAAGGAAGGCCCATGCAAATTGCTCGGACCCTGGGCGAACTGCGTGGGCTTTGGGCGCGCCTTTCGCTTGTAAAGGGTCGAGAAATGGCCTCCCATTTGCGTGTTCCTCAATCTTTAATCGCTGCGAGCACGTGAGCAGCCTGATTCTAGACGGCTCGGCTTAGGCTGCGGTGCAGGGATGGAAAATGGCCGCCCGAATCGAACTGAATCATTGATTAGGTCTCAAGGCTCGAGGACTGAGGCTTCCTTTAAAATGTAAACTTAAAATCTGCTCGAATTTTAAGCTCAAGTGTGGGATGTTTTGAAAGTTTAACGGAAAATATATTTTATTTTAAGCATTATTTTTAAAGAATAAATTTATATTGCAGGATCGGACCACTATGAGCGACTTAGGAGCCCGGTAATGATGATAGCATGACGCGTGACGGCGAAATTCCAGCCATTTTCAATCCGAAACGGGTGCGCACTCCTTCCGTGGTGGTCACCGGCGACTCGTCGACGAATGGCCCCTACAGCACTAACCAAACCGGCGGAGGCGGAGGTGGCGGACCGGGAGCCTGCAGCAGCACCTCAGCCGTCGCTCCTGGCGTCCAGTCCGCTCAAAATGGCAGTGGCACCGGGGGAACGGGCAGCTGCGGCTTCAGCAACGTGCTCACCTCGAGCAACCCGCAAATAACCCACCAAGACTCGATCTCTTCGAGCCAACAGGACCCCAATGAGGTGATCATCATACCGGCGGACACGCCCACAAGTGCGCCGGGTAGCCACAGTGCAGGCCATCACTTTGGAGGCGGCGGCGGCGGCGGCGGTGGCGGAGACTCCAGCGACACGCAGACGGAGCAGCAGCAGGCTAATGGCCATGGGGAGGAGCCGGAGCTGCGGTTCCGGAAGCTGCAGGCCTGCAAGGAGTCCTGCTGCTCTGAGCTGGCCCGCAAGGTGAGGAGGATTTGGAATAATCTCTAGCTATATGACATTCCTTCCCATATTATAAAAACAATTGCATACTTTTCTGCAAAAAGTACCATATCTTCTCTATAAGTAATTACCAATGATTATGTCTTAAGAATTGGTGTTATGATGTATTAAATTCAATTGCTATTATACATTTTATTGCATAGCATATATTTTATTGAAGTACTAACCATGAATGGTTTATGATATGTTGCAGATGTACTTCGGCGTGTGCGTGACCATCCTGATGACCGCCTCGTGGGTGGGGGCCACCCACTGCATTAAGTACATGTACAAGTACCGTGCTCCGTACGACGACCTGCTGAACGACGACCAGGACACGTCCTCGAGCCGTGCCGATCTGAGCACGGAACTGGAGGACATACTGGCCATCAGCGACTCGTCGCTGCACCACGTCGAGGACGCCACCGAGATGTTCAACATACCACCGCGCCAGCCGGTCTATTTCAGCGCCCCCTTCTTCGCCGCCTGGTTCTTTACCAACTTCTCACTGCTCTTCTTTCCCATCTACCTCCTGGGTCTGGTCTCCACGCGCAAGTGCGAGAAGCTGAGCGATATTCTCGGCGATGTCCTGCGAGGATTCCGGGAGCGCGGCTTTACAGTTGGTGAGTATATGCAGTGGCTTCATTGCTTTTTAAATATATTTTTAAATGGTTTTTTATATGATAGGTCGCTTCCTCAATCGCTGCCTCTGCTTCTGCATTTTGTGGCTGGTCACCACCTACCTGTACACACTCTCCCTGCACGTCCTCTACGCCACGGATGCCCTGGCTCTGTTCGCCACCAACGTGGCCTGCGTGTACCTGCTGTCCTGGGTGATCCTGCATGAGCAGTTCGTGGGCGTGAGAGTAAGTCTATAACGCAGATTTTTAAAGAAAAAGAAAGCAAATTTTTTTTTGCAATAATATTAAGTGTGGGGTTTTCGGTTTAAGAATCCCATTACAAAATAATATTAAAAACAACTAGTTTCGAAATTCTCAATTGGTACCAATTTCATGATGAGATACTAAAAAAATCTCATATATTTTAAATAAATAACTTCAAATATAATTTCTTTCATAAACTAACGATCCGAACAATAGAAACTAATAACCGAAAAATCAGTGTGCATTTGGTAAAGCAAAGTTTGGACTTGAAGAGTTTTCCCAGTCAAAAACGATTCCCAATAATGATAGTATTGAATTAGATAACCGTATACTTTGTGTTCATTCGCTTGGCCTTCATCGCGATCTCCTGCTCCTTTTCCTTTTCAACGGTTTTAACGAAATCGTCTATAATTTTGCTGTCCATCATTCTCAGTGGCCTACCGTTCTCCATGATGGCCAACTCCAGGCGGTTGTGCCACGACTGGGTGACTTCGAGGAGGGCTCTTATGGCCAGTTTGATGGTTCCCCAATTGGTGCTTACTTCTTCCTCGTTATAGGCCTTCTCGAAGAACTCGCGCACAGTGTTTGCCGAGCGACCAGTGGCATTTGCCTTGTATTCGTAGAAAATTCCGGAGGGTTCGGTTTGAAAGAGACGAGCAGATCCACTGGCGTCGTAGCCCCCGATGAGGCAGGATATCCCGAAGGGTCGGCGACCATTGCTCTGCGTGTACTTCTGCTTCAGCTGGGCAATGTATCTGGTGATATACTCCACGGTCACTGCATTCTCGAAGTTAAGCCGATGGCTCTGGCACTCCACCTGAGCGCGATTTATTAGGATGCGTGCATCGGCCGTTAGTCCGGCAAAGGCCATTCCGACGTGGTGGTCGAGCATGTTTATCTTGCGCACCGTGCGATCCTCCTGCAGCTTGGCCACCGAGCTTTTCTCCACGCCCAGCACCACGCAGTTGGCTCCGCGCACTCCAACCGCCGACGAGCCCTTTCGAACGGCTTCCTGGGCGTATTCCACCTGCAACAGGTGACCGTCCGGCGAGAATATGGTCACAGCTCGATCGTAGCCCGAAGACATCTTTTAATTATTTAATATGGGATTATTTCTATGGCAAGCAATGTTCAAGTCTGTTGATTTTTTTAGTGATTGTAAATTCCGAGAGATTACAGCCTTCTGAATGAATTATTTCTTTGATAAAACAACTTTCGAAGTCATTAATATTTACTGGGCTTAAAGTTATAAAGCTTCTATCATAAATAACCCAGTTTTATTTTATTTTAAGGGTAGGTAAATTTGTTTTATTATTATTATCTAACTTATAGTTAAAAGTTTTAACTTAAAACTCTAAAATAACAGTGGTTTTATTTTAGAACTATAGAAGCAAAAGGCCTTAAGCTCGCTTATTGTAGTTTAGTAGTTATGATTATTATTTTATTATATTTTACAGTTTTTTTTATATCTTATTTAGAATGTTGCAATTATTAAGGAAGAATAGGATTTTCTGGGTATTGATTAAAGTAGAATTTGAGATAATGTGGATAATGCTTCAATTATAAGTAACCCAGTTTTATTTTATTTTTATTTAATTTTATCAAAAATGTATAATAATAAAATTGTATCGTTCCTCCGAGCAATTTATATTAAAATGTGTTCTATTTTTAAGAAATTCTATAAATTCACTCAAATCCTAGTTAAATGACCTATTTATTGCAGATCGTGGCCATCATCCTCTGCGACACGGGAATAGCGTTACTGGCCTACATGGACGGAATCACGGAAAGCCGAACCCTCAGCGGCGTCGTCCTGGCCACGTTGGCCGGAGCAGGCTATGCCGTGTTTAGGGTGAGTAACCCCTACCCTGATTTCCCTTGCTTTCGTGTGCGGGCCATGTCGTGCTCATGTTGGCCTGTCGCATTTCCAGGTTATGTTCCGCAAGGTGATGGGCGATCCGCCGGTGAGCCAAATCGCCTTCATATTCACCGCCCTCGGCTTCCTCAACGCCCTGCTGCTGTGGCCCGTTGTGCTGGGTCTCTACCTGACTGGCACGGAGAGCCTCACATCGGAGAGCATACCCTGGAACCTGCTGTTCGCGGCGAGCCTCCTGCTCCTCGGTAGGAACTCCAACCACTCTGATCCCTCTGCATTTGCTGTGCCGTTAACTTTTATCGGTGTAATTAATTTTGATTGCAGTTTTCCACGTTCTGATGCAGTTCAGTGCCGCCGTAACGTACAACATGTTTGTGACATTGGGTCTGATTACCGCTGTGCCCGTTTCTGGAGGTACGTACCCAAAGGCGGGCTCCTCAGAATGATTTCCTGGGGCCTAGCCGGTGTTGGTTCGTAGGGTTTGCCTCTTTTCGCTTGAGGGATTCCGTGACTGTAAATTGTTTTAAATTGTAATATTAAAACCAAGCACTCATGTGAGGCACGTGAGACCATTTGATCTTTGTAGTGGGTGCATAGCGACATACATTTTTACAATCCTGCAGACGAACTTTGTTCGGAAAATTAATTGTTGGAAAAGTAGTTTAATGATATTCAAAGGAATTGTAGTTTTTAGTTACTGATTTATGAAGAAAACTCTAATTCCAAATTTTATTCAATCCCTTAGCACTCGATGTCATACTGTACAGTGCAAACTTTGCGGGCATGAAGCTGGCCGGAGTCATTCTGATTGGCATTGGATTTTTCCTCGTTATGTTCCCCGCCAACTGGCCAGACTATATAACGCGATTGTTGCGGTAAGTGGGAAATATTTCTCGTATTTACTCATATTGCTAAGAATAATTGTTATGCAATTAATATGCTAATTTTCTTTGTCAGAGTAAAAGACTCGTGCGTGTTTGTTTCGAATATTTTACGGCTTCAGTTCATTTCGGTTGTATATTTTTTATGTTTATATTTTGGATTTTATTTCAAATTTATTATTTCATGTTGCTGCTACTCTGTGGCCATTAATGACTAAAGCAAACGTTAAAATAAATCACCGAAAAAATTAAAATTTCTACTCATGTTTGATTTTGATAAAACGCTGTTAATTTCCTGTATACTCACATAAACTATATATTTAATTTTATATAAACAAACATCTTGCAGAAAAAGCGTTCGTGCCATACTCCGCTACCAATGTTGTTGTGAATTAGCCGAAATTCGCTATGCTCATTCGGTAGGCCAAAAACACAAGCTAAGCCAAAAACCCAAAACCAAAATCAAAATCAAAAACAAAAACAATACCAAACCCTTGATTCAAGACACCATTAGATATAAATTAGAACCGTAGGCATCCTAAAAGATAACAAACCTTCCAACTGAACTTTAACTTGAACTTGACTTTATGATATTGCTATTGATAAGTAACCGAAACTTGGCAGATTTTTTACTGAATACAAAAACAAAAACTTCTATGCTATCTATATAGGTATATGAACACAAATATATAACCCACAAGCAAAAACTACAACACTTTGGCTTCCAACTTTGCGCTCACCCTTGTTGAAAGAAGTATCTAGACATGTGTATCTAACTGTTACTATATATACTTGCCCTTATGTACACCCAATAATCCATATACCGAAATATACCTCTACACACATTTTACGAACATATATCTATACATCGTTACCGTTAATAAAGCCGTTTTACCGACACTAACTACTTCGGCTGTTGTGCAATTGGTTGACAATCCCATCTCGTTGTTGTTCTTGACGTTTTTTTTGGCGCTGCCGTTACCATAAATGTACTTATACTTATTGTTGTTGATACTTTTGATGATTTCGTTTCGTTTCGGCATATCAGCAACCCCAAAACCTTATAAGTACCTCAGAAGCCGAGGTATAACCAGACCGATCTCAGCGCCAATCTTTTGTTTTGCCCATTTGTGTAAGATATATTCTTGTATCTGGATGTTGGTTGCTGGTGCCGAGGTTCTATTAATGTAGTAGTTCCCACACCTGAACAATACACACCCACCCACACACTCCGAAACACTCACACACCCACCTCAACGTACATATGTAGTTTGAGTTTCGCTGGTGTTGCGAAAGTTTCCATTTCAAGATCCACGCAGAACTCCAAAAATATGGATGCTGGTGATTATGATAATGATGATGATGATGATTTGTTTGGCTGTTTGTTGTGTGACCTACTCTACTGAATTGCAGCTTCTTGTAATTGGGTTAAATCTATTGACTTGGCCATAACCTGTTCGTGTAAATAAATTCGATTTTTCGTTATTTGTTCTTTAGTTACTCAAACTGTCTGCACCTAGAGAGGAGAGCGCAAGTTACCATAGATGTTTTGCAGATGTTATATCGCAGCATGAACGAATTTACCCGAGCTGGGTATCTAAACCCCCATCGCCCCAAGTAATACCGTTTATCCATTATCATTTTCCCTAAGACCCTGTCAGGATGCTACCGGCCAGAGAGAAACCAAATAAAAACAAAGACCCGACCTTTAAAATCGATTAAATCCTAAATAATGATATACATAAAATGCATTCAAATTGTTACCGATTGGCATGTTTGAACCGACCTTCGTTTTCTCTTCGTTTTCGTTTCGAATTGACCGTTTTTCGTTTTCCAATCTGATCTACTCTTGAGTTACTCCTTTATTTCTGTGCGATCTGTCTGCCTAACTTTGAATTCTTCAAGCTCTACTCTATGCTATATACTCTCTACCTACTTCTTATATATATAAAAAACGTGTCGACATTTCTCAATTGTCTTTTTGCAGAAGCATCATAATGCTGGGTCACAATGCGAGGTGAGTTTTGAGATTAGGCTGAGCTAAGAATTGAATAAGTTTCTTACAACCTAAGCATAAACAACACGGTGCCCGAAATCTGAAAGAAGGGTTTTTCGTTATTATACCATATAGGAATACCTTACTCTAAAAACCCAGCCCATACCGAGACAAGCAATCAACAAACTTACTAATATATTTATCCAAATCCAACTGTAAGCGAAGTATGTTTTTTTCATTCGATTTCGTTATAATCCTTAGTCAACTCTTGCCTAGACTTTTGATAATTCAGGTTTGATTTGGTTTCGTTTGGTTTGTGAGGGATTGCAAGTGATTCTCCTAACCTTACCTCTCGCATCTAAGTTTTGATTTCCATATTCTTTCGTAAGCTAATCCGAGTAACAGTATGATAGCCTTTGGTTAATAAGTACAGTACGACCGAGTAGCCTCGGTCTGCCAGATAACTCTCTCGGTAAACTCTTCTTTTGGCCCAGTGCTAAGGTAAGTCGATCCGAGGGTCCTGCATTGCCCACCGCCAGCTAAAGTCACCTCACATAATGGGTATCGATCCGATGCCGAAAGACAGACTCACCCCAATCACCCAATTACCACCCACCCACTCACTTTCGGAGCCACCGGAGTAGATGCAATGATCATGATCTTCCGTTGAACAGTTTCTTGTATGATATTCTTTTTGGAGGCCATCTGAAAGCAAATGCTGGTTGTAAACGATGCAGCGGTAATCTTCCGCCGGTGGAGATATGAAGGATACAATCCCCTAACTGCTGTATCGTTTAAAGCCGACGTTGAGAGAACTATCAGCTCTCTAGCCGTAGAATCTCCTGATTTGTATATAGTAACACCGCTAATCTGTACTATTGCTTCTTTTTCTTCTTGTTTTTCTTCTTCACCTCTGCCACAACCTGCCTATCTCTATTTCTCTCTCTGTGTGTTTCTCTGGACTATCTCCTCTTCTCGAACTGTTCTCTCTCTCTCTTTCTTCACACACCTACACACACACACCTCAAACACAACCGAACGGGACGTGGCCAAATTGAATGACCTCCATTGCAAAAAAATACAAAAAATACACCGCAAAAAACGATTGAACATGACCACACATAAAAACCATGTAGCGGTAGGCCAGCGCTTTGTAAACGAGATGCTATAGTCACGGGACCGTCCACCAGATATGCGCAGCGGCACATCACGCGCACGCACCATATAAGCTAAGAGTTTTGGACAAGTCACTGAATTGTACAGAAAACAACAAAAAAAAACAGAACAAGACAAGATATATTTTGTAAAAAGATTTTCAAAAAAAAAGTACCAAAAATCGAAAGAAAAACTCTAAAACTCAATTGCACCACTTGCCAGATCGGGGTAAGTACAGAACTTGATTTAATTGCTAGCGATAAGTACAAAACGAAGGTACAGTTGCCACCATTAGAGATAGTACCATAACAGGCATCATCTTGATTTCTATACTTTTATCCTTTTTCGACATCCCTTCAAGTTATGCGTTCTCTTTCTATCTCCCCTATCTCTCTCTATCGCTCCTTCTGTCTGGACTCTTTTTGGATTTTCGACTCACAGATCGCAGCATATATATGCTACCCATTACAAACACAATCGAAAGTATTATGCGGTCAAGACCGACTCATATGTTGTTTGAGCCAATCGCATGAATGAAACCAATAAAACCGGCGTGTGGCTTCCGACTGTTTTTGCTTAGGCCCCCGGCCACTGCCACGCCCACGCATCTCCCCCGAAAACCCAAAAAGTCTTTACAACTGTTATGCGACTGTTAAGAACACTTTTGTACCAAACTACGTTAAGTAACATTCAAGTTTCCGACTGAGAAACTCAAACGGTCGAACGGTGAGAGTCCCATTGATTTATTTTTGATCAGCCCTTAGAATCACTAGCTTCACCGTCAATCCTCCCCATGTACAGCTCACCAGATCACCAATCCCCCTTTATCTGAAATTTTCGGAAAGTCTTTAAAACTTGTTTTTAAGTTTTCGTTTGCTTTGTAATGTTTACAGCTTGCCTATGTTGTTGAGAAGTATCTTTGCTAGTCAAGCTACTTATGAACTTTGGAGAGCACAGCTTATGTAACTATTTTCGGCACCCGTAACTTAACCCCTGCTTAACCCCCAAAACACCTACACATACTCCACAAACACCGACAACCACACACACAACACACACGATAAATTTGTAAATAACAAACACAAGAACATCAGTAAAAAATCAGTAAAAAGTCTTAGCGCTTAGGCTATTGTATCTATGCACTGCAGACACGAGAACCCCAATCGGAACCCATTTCCCGGGGAGTCCTGTTCCCCTGCAGTGCCTAGTCCCAAAAGATATAGTCATGCAAGCGCTTACTCTATGTAAATGTGAGTGTATGTAGCGCCCTAGAGTTGAACACCTAAGAAATAAAGCCTAGAAAGTAAATCAAACTAATGCCAAACAGAAGAGAACTTTAATTAGATAGCCAGTCCGGCAGATACTAACATGTAACACTTTGTCTTTACCACCTACCCCCAAAAAAAAAAAAAAAAAACCATCCCCCCAAATACAAACTATAGATGGGGTCGCGGCCCTCGGAGCGGTACTTCAACAGGTCAGCATCCCACCATTATCGACTATCGGACGGGATACATAAGGTCCCATCTTCGTTCACCCTCTGGCCGTGTGAGATGACTGATCTGTCGCCGACCACCACTGGGTTTCTACATGGCCATGGCGGCGCCAACGCACAGCATCACCAGCAACTTTTGCACCACCAACAGCAGCATCAGCATCAGCAGACCCACCAGCAGCACCTCCAGCAGCAATACCACCACCGTCAGCACTCGCTCCACCAGCAGCACCTGCAGCGCCAGCACTCGCACACCTCGCTGACCAAGATCCACCGCCAGAGCAGCAGCCACAGTGTCCACGGTGGCGGTGGTGCTGGTGCTGGCCGGCCGGAGCACCACCGGTCCCACACCGGAGCCACCGGGCGGCTCTTCTCCTACTTCGGCAACGAGCAGGAGCACGAGCGCAAGAAGTCGGAGACGTCCTTCTTCAATCTCGGCTTCCGGCGGAAGTCCACCGTGGTCTACTACGCTCCGTCGGATTAGAGGCGTCTCCTTGCTAAGGCATATCGAAAGCATCTAAGCAAGAGCATACAATCAGATTTATTAGTGGTTTAGATCGGTCATATTTTACTTGTGTGTCATTATATCATAATTATTGTCGTCGTTGTTGTTGATGTAAAAGTTCAATCGGATCGCATGCAGTTACAATTTTGCTCAAATATAACACATTTAAAGGCTACAGTTACAGTTAAACACCAGCACGGAGATTAGAAGCTCCTCAGCAACAAAAGAATAAGGAATCCATGACCATGAACATGCCCCTGCCTCGCCTTGAATCTCAATGTCAATACAGAAAGATGCAGAAACCCAAAAAAGAAGAGAGCCCGCGAATCGAGCTCAAAAGTGCCCCGAAAGTTAACTATATACGGTTATAATTTAATACTCATAATTATTACGAAATTGTGTAAGGAATCGAAGCCAATTGTTTTAGCAATTATATACATTAATTATAAAGGCAATGAATAGTCAAATATTTTAAAGTGGATTCACTCAACGGCACACCTTAAGAAGGGCAAGATAACGAAAAAACGAACAAGAAAATCCAAGATATTTAAGGAAAATAGTTGATAGACGTCACCGAGAAAAATTCAAAGTTCACCCGGCTAGGAAACCCATTAAACTGTAAGCTCATCTAGCGACTAGATCCAAATGGTTTTTCATTTAAACTTAACGTTAACTGTGGATCGGACTTTTGTTAAAGATTTTTATTTGAACGTGAACTGAATGTGAACCGAGTCAAAAACGAATCGAAGTATTAGTATTTTTTAAATGTTTATGTGTTGTTCGTAATTTGTAATTGAAAGTGTTGTAGAGTCGAAATGAATCAACGAGGATACTGTTGTATTAACGCGGCCGCCTCTCGTTTGAACCCCAAAATGGGAATCCCCAAAATGGGACATTCAGATCAGAGTTGTCGCCTGTTATATGAACTAAGTTGTGTAGCCACATCCAATAATTGATTTGTGATAGTTTTTAAAAATGTTTGATAACCAACTGCATACACTACATACTTTTACCTACCCGCCCACAAGAGAGAGGCAATGGTATAGCTGGGATGTATTTAGAACACACGAAAACCGAACACGAAATAAATAGTTAAATAAAAGCTAAACTGCATTTTATTTAGTTTTAAGGGGAGACAAGACCAGCAGGCCAAGGGACACTTTTCATTAGTCTAGAGAAATGTCAATGTTACGAGAGTAAAAATTTTCTCAGTATTAAGACATCAACCATTCTGAATAAATCCCCTCCAAAAATTTGTTAAAATTCTAAAAGGATCAAAAAATAAAGTCAAAGTCCAAATTAGAAATTATTCTTCATATTCGTGGATTGGAAAGCCGATTGTAATCCAAGCAAGTCGATCCGAGCAGTCGAGTGGATCGCGAATATAAGATAAAGAAATTGGAGGAGAATTTGCGGCGCTCGGCGATCAGACGGGCGGCGTAAATTTATCTTGGAGTTCCAAGATCTTTTATATTCTGTTTTTGTTCTCTAAAATATCACATACTGTGATATCATTTCGCACTTTTATAAAAGCCGAAAAATTCAAACGTTGGATTGTGATTTGTGCTTCTCGATTGTAATACATTCAAATTGCAAAGCGTGACGAAAAATTCACATCTTGACAGGAAATTAAATCGGAAGCGCAACTAAATTCGACTAACGTTGGGGACACTCGCAGGCAAAATGAATAAGTTTGGTAAGTCGATTGTTTTACTATAAAATCATATATTTGAACAGTGTGTATATGTATTGCTTTAGAATTATTAGGCACTTAAAATCTACACATTAGGCTACAAAAGAAATTTGTAAAAGTTGGACGGTTTTTGTCAAGGCACTTAACATTTAAATAGATACATAATAAAAAATAGACTGCTCATTGGACGGAGTCTGTGTGATATTACAAAATATTCGAGTTCGAACACTTAATTCAGTTTTAAGGCACAATTTACACTTTTGATTGTTTTTCTCTTTGTACTGATCTACAAATCTATTGCGGAATGTTATGTCCCCCTGACACCCAAAAACGAAACGAAAAGCGGACACGTTCGGCCACTCGAACGTGTTTCCGCAGACGCGGGCATTTTTCCAAATGGAAATGGAGGAGTTGCCCGAATGCTGAGACAGTTACTGCCCACCGCTGCTGCTGCCCTGAAATGACTATGAAAAATGTGTGAAAAAGATTTTTTGTGCCCCTGTCCAGCTACCTATGGCCATAAAGTTTTTAATGAAAAAAGCTGGAGATTTCTTTTTTGCCCTGGTAGGAGACCAAGTGGCTGATAAACTGGTTCCTGCGGCGCATAGAAAAAGTTCTCAGGGTACAGATAATAAAAATTCAAGCGCGTATGATAATCAAGGCGCAAAAAACAAAAAGCGGAAAAAACGCCACAGCGGCAGCGGCATATATACTTAATTCAGGCAAAAAATCGCAGCCAACGGACCATCGACGATTTAATATAAGAAAAACACGACGGCAGGCGTTGGATTTTTTGTGCCATCCGTTGGTAGGAAAAGTAAAAAAAGGTGTGCGTGCGGCACAAACAACCCTCGGTAGCTTGGACCTGGACGACCTCCCCGATGGGTGTAGGTACGACTGGGCCTAACTGGGTTCCGATGTTAACAGGTTTGCGATCGCCGCACACACGCACACACAGCTGTGCGACTTCACGGACATTAGAGAGGATCTCCGAAGGATCTCCGAAAAAGAAAAAGACGAGCTACACGGCATTTCCGTAATCTGAGCGCAGTAGGCGCGGCTGTTTGCGCTTTTCTGCCGACGCTGCCAACGCTGCCGCTTCTGCTGCTTCTACCGCCTTTGATAGAAATGACAAATAACCAGATTCATTGTAATAGATTATGTCTACAACTTAATCGCCTTGCAGATAAATGATGACAATGTTCGAAAGGGAGCAACGGCGGAGAGCTGGGCTGGCAGCTCGTTTTGTTTTTGGGTGTCAATTTTGTGTCTGTGTTGCTTTGTAGTTCTACCTTTTGTGGAATGGATTTGATGTGAGTTTGAGTTTCGTTTGGACGGAAGTTTGCGTTAGTTATTTGGCGTGCGGCTGCTTAACTAAATCTATACAGCAGGGTGAGCGTGAGCCCGATCAGGGCGACCACAAGTCCCAGAGCGGATTGCAGACCCGAAGCGCCGGCCAATCGGCACTTGAACATATCGTAGCGGGTCTCGACATCAGCGACTATATTCTGATACTCGGCCTCCACCAGCTGGCCGTCGTAGTAGGTGATTAGATCCTCAAAGGGATACTCGTAGCCCTGCAGGCACTCGCACTTGTAGCCTCCGGTTTCGTAGCCACGGCCCATGATGGGAACGCACTGCAAAAGAAGTTAAATTTAGAATAAATTAAATAGAATTTGCGGCTTCTGTACTCACGTAGGACGACTGCTCGTCGCACTTGTGCGTGTTCTTGTAGGCATTTGGCTCGTAGTACCAGTCCGGGCACTGGTTGATGTCCAGCTGCATCATGTCCATGGAGACTGCCACCACACCCCTGCGCAGAGCAAACAAATTAGCCAGTTTAATTGCCCCCATTTGCATCACAATGCCAGAAGTCACAAGTCAGAAGTTAGGTCTTGTCAACACTCCAAAATTAGACAATCAAGCCAAAACATTTGCATGTGAATGGAACTGGGATAGAAATCGAGAGTGGGACTGTGCCCTAAAAAGGGGTTTGAGCGGCCCGCGACGGCGGCACGCAGCGGACCGGCCCAACAAGTCTCTCAATCTCAAACTCAAACCCAACCCCTATTCCGCATTATCCCCTATCTCATACTCACTTGAATTCCAGCTTGACTTTGAGGCTGTCCCACCCGAAGAAGGGCACCGCATAGGTCACCAGCCACTTCTTCACGTAGCCGTCGCAGTCGAACTGCGGCTGAGTCCAGTAGCCGTGCTTGATGTTTGCGGCCCTGTACGAATTGGGGTAGTGCTCGTACTTCTGCTGGTATTCACCTGTCTCGTTGTGCCGGATCTTGATCTTCATGTAGAAGGTCTCCAGGTCGTCGAAGTTGGTGTTCCAACGCTGCTTGAGGAACTTGAAGTACTTCTTCTCCGTGTAGAGTTCGTGGGTCTTGTTGAGACGCGCCAAATCCTCCACCTTGAACTTGCGCGTGTTGAGCTCCGTTTTGTAGGCATAGGGTGCGAAATATGTGCGGTTTGTGAACTTGTTGCGCTCCCAGAGCATTGTGGCGGACCAAACTTTGCTGTCGCCCAGGACAATGGCCAGTGTCTCGCCGATCATTTGATCCTCCGTCAGAGGTTTGTCGGCCACACGTTTGCCCGAGTACACTTCGTTGGGATCGGATACCTGCGAAGGGGGAATAATCGGGTTTTAGTTTGCATTTTGGGGAAGATTTTGTGTTAACCCCACGGCTCCTTTCAATGCTAACAACTTGTGCAAATATGGACACGGAGAGCGAGCTCTGAAAGGAGACGCTCATCCCCATGATTTCCCTAGCTTTTCGTTGCTGCTGCGGCTGGCCTTTAATGAAGACGACGCCTTGTGGCGAACCCGTTTTTCGTGTCCTCGGCGCTCAAACTAATGAATTTAGCATTTGGTAATGGTTTGACACTGAATATTTAATTCACGCCGCGCGGCTGGCAACGCAGAATGCCAAATAGTAAGAGAAGCAACAGCAGCGAGAAACTGGCATTGCAGGAAATTCGAGGAAGTTGAATTACGCGTGGAAAATTATAATTTACACTTGAGAAGTTTTCAAGAGCCGTCGTCGAAGGCTCTTAATAGGTGTCGGGTTATCAATTATTGCTCTTCATTTAGCGTGAAGGCGATGGGAAGCGTTTGCTCTGAATCGCTTGCTTACCTGCAGGAAGGCGCTAATAAAGTTGGCCAGTCGCACGGCCATCTTGGCTTCGTTCTCGAACTGCTCCTTGGCGCCGAAGCTGACATCGCCGCGCAGAATCAGATCTTGCGGATGGAAGCTGTCAAGGGGAGAACATAATTGATCAGTCTATTGAAGTGACCTTGGATAGGCTGGTCTTACTTCTTGCAAGTGCGATAGTTGACTCCATGAATGTACTTCAGTGCCTGGTCAATATTTAAATGCTCCGCATGGAGAGACCTCGAGCCGGTTGTATAATTCCGATACTCCGGGTGGCGGTCCAAATATTTTTGGCGTATGTGGTAGGGAGCCTTCTCCCACTGAATGGGCAGCTTTTGGATCCCTTTAAGTTAAAACACAGTCAATTAAAGCCGCCCGAAATAAGGGTAAATCAAACCTACAGCCAATCTTGAGACAGTCGTACTCGTTGTAGTACTGCTCCGCCGAGGCCCGCTCCACAATCTCGCCGAGATAGGGTCGCCGCACAACGTTGGGCAGCCGCCAACCTGGTTTACAGCGGCACTGGTAGCCACCCCGCCTGAAACCCCAACCGTGGAGAGGTTCACATTCCGTTGTTTCCTTTTTACACCGCGCCGTGTCCGCAAAATGATTCGGTCCTTTGTTGCCTTCACCCAAAGGACACTGGTTAATGTCTATGCGCTCAAAGTCCATTTCCAGCACCGAAACAGCTGTGTATCTGGGGAGGATTAAGGGGTTAGGGAGACAGGCTATAAGATGACCCTTAAACATAGCTTACTTGGGATATTCAATGTGCCGAAACTGGGTGTGGCGGGGGTAGATATCGGCAATGGGCACCACGGCGGCCACCAGCCACTTGTTGGACCTGCCGCAATCGAAGTAAGGCCGCGTGAACTTTATGGGACCCGGATTCTCCTCGGAGCCAGGCGGTCCGTGGAAGGTGTACGTTTCATTCGTATTGTTCGCATAGCGGATCTCCACCTGGTAGGTGATCTTCGTGTCGTGCCGTCCCTCCACATTGTCCGGCAGCCACGCCCGATACCATTCGTTGATCTTGTACAGATCGTGGGTGTAGTCCTTGGATATGGAGTCCGGATGATGGGCGCCCAGATCCTGGACATCAAACGTGTTCCACGTGGATATCTTCTGCAGATGGATGGGGTCGTTGAAGTCGTCCAGCCGGAAGGTTCGTGGCCCGAAACGCGGGAAGGTCTTGTTGAAGAAGCCGCGATACGAGGAGGAATATGAGCTGTTCGGCGAGAAGTAGACGGCCGAGGCGTTGATGTGCGGATTGGCGGAGACATCGGCCACGGTGGACAGGAAGTAGTACATCATGCCGGGATCGTAGGTGTCATTGATGGCGGGTCGAATGAACCGCGACTGCAGGATGTAGCTCCAGAAGAAGCTCCTACTCAAAGCCATATTCTGCAGATGCAGCAGGGCTGTGCGATTCGGGAACACCGGATTCACGTTGACCTCCTTGATGTCCGGCTTGTGGGACACCGCGTCCAGGGGCATGAACAGATCCGAGTGGTGCTGGATGGGGCAATTATCCCCGTTCACCTTGTCGAACTGCCGCTTGATCTCGTCGAAGGCGTCCCTCGCCTGCCACTCGTGCTGGGCGAAAACGCCCACAGCGAGCACCAGCATGAAAAGCAGGTAGCTGCGCCCCAAAATCGACGAGGGGATCATTTCGGCCTTCTTCTATCTCACCCGCTTACTGCGAACCAAACAAACGACGCTCTTTCGTTAATAATTAATAACTAAACATAAAATGAGATTCTAGGGCGGCACGACGCCAAGATTCTATTAGTAATAGGTAATTATGATGCTCAGCACTTGTTGGAACTACGCCCTCAAAATAGGGATGAGCACAAACATTGATTCATCGATGCGATATTTTGTTTCGATATTTTTATATATCGATAAAAAGGTTTAAAAACAGGTACGAAAACGTACTTTTTTTAACCTTCTAAATATTTAAAACAATAACTAATTTAAAATACGTTAAAAATAATTGCAAAGCCAAAACAGAAACGCTTATATTTCCACTTCAATTTACCACAATTTAGTGTGTGTGGGGTGCTCCATTATTAGTCAATTTCGCCGCCAAAAAAAAACAGGCCCACAGGGTGATTCGGGTCTGCACCAGTGTTGCCTAACCGTCCGCTTTATGTGGGTGTAGCGGTCCGGTTCAGTTATCGATTATTGAACCGGTTGTGTTATCGAACTGGCGGGTCACAAAAGGGGGGAAAGTTCAAAAGTTTATTAAACTGCATTCAAAATGGGCCAAAATTGACAGCAGCAGGCAGTTGGAACCTGGCCAAAGATGAAAATTGGCCCAATGGGTTAGCACAGAGGTATAAAAACTTGTGGGACGTAAATACTCGTTTTAGTTAGTTTAATGGGAATTTTAGTGCGGTAACAGCTTGCACTTGGTTCATTAATTTAATATGGCAAATCTGGCAGGATTTCCACATTGGTTTGAACTACTTCTCCTTCCCCAAGATTTTAAATTGCCACGAACAGGGAAGTAGAAATACGGTTTGAAGGGTTTCCAGGTGTATGACACATAGAAAATATTTTTAAGGAGTTTTTAAATATTTTCAGGTTTAAAAAAATTTTAATTTTTATCAATTTTGGGACTTTTAACTACCAATATAATTTTAAAGTAAATAAATTCAAAAATTTCACTTATAAACAAGTTATATTTTTAATGAACAATTTGATTTTTATCTGTCATACTTTCATTTAAATAGTATTCAATAAATACAACCTATTTTAATATCCATATTATTTTTAAAAGGTATTACTTTCCAGGATAATATTTTTAAATTAAGAAAAACTTAGTTATACATCTTATAAACTTTTACACCCCTTTAGCTACTGGCTACGTCCCTGCTCAGTGACCCTCTTAGGCGACACAACGCCCCTCCTGAATTATTGAAGCCTCCTGTGATAGGGATTGAATTAATCCAGATTCGGGTCAGCACCCAGAGCAGCTATTTTGGCAACTTTGCGGCTGTGGTCACAGCTTGTGGCTTTCGTCCCTGGAGCAAGAGCCATTTCCTGGCGCTATCGTCCAGCGTCAATCTGTTGTGGTCGCCCTGCTCCTCATCCTGCCATCCCTGCGGCTCCTCATCCTGCTCATCCTGCTCCTCCTCTTCCTGCTGCCCCCCATTGCTCTTCCTCTGTCGCCACCTGCGCTAAATGACACGAATTAGTGGACGAGCTGGGTGACCCTCCATCCTTGACCCTCTCCCTTCTCCTCACCCTGCAATCCTCACTCGCATTGCATTGCAGCACTTTCCATTACATTGCTGCGTCCACGTCCTGGCCATTTCGCTTGGGTTATTTATTACACCTGTCGTTTTTGTTTTGCCCTTGTTTTCCCCCGGCTACTCCGTTCTTTTTTGTTATTTGCCAGTTGGATTACAGGGGGATCCTCTTGGCCGACAAAACTAAAATTCGGCACAAACATAATTTCCAGTTTGTCGACTGACATTTCCGTACGTGTGCGCGTGTGGGTGTATCGGTGAACCAGTGCATCGGTGTGCGTGCCTGCATCGGTGTGGCATAATGCAGATAAATCTACGCGCCTCCTGCACTGTTTTATTTTGCACGTGGGAATCGCAATAAAACACTAAAGAAAATAGTTATACCCCTAATAAGGTAAAAAATTAAATTTTGTTTTATATTAAATTATTTGAGCCCTTCCTTATAATTAACATAATCCTACTGATTAACCACGATTTGCAACATTTATTCTTACATCTTGCATCATTTACATTTAAACTAAATTATTAAAAAAATTATTAAATATAAAAATCTTTACTTTAAAAATAAGTAAGATATTGTATAATATTTATATTAATTAAATTTTATTTTCTATGAATTTTCTTAAACGTTGATTACTTATACGCACCGTTGCCTTTAATAAAATCTATTATTTTCATATAGACCCTGACTTGAGAAATAACTTTTCCTATTTTCCAAGGCCTTAACAACAACATTTTTACATTTAAAATTTATTTTATAGTACCTACATATATAATATTTAATTTCACGTAGGCAATAACAGTTTCTCGCAGTGTGATGTTACTTTATTCTGGCCTCTTTTCGCCGGTCTCCTGTGTTTTGTTTTAGTTAGCCCATTCGCTTTTTGTTTTTGTTTTCGTTAGCACCGGCTACTGTAATTGATTGTTGTGTAAATTTCGCCGTTGCTGTTGTTATTGCCCATTGCTGTCTGCTGTTTCTGCAGTTGTCCTAAATGGCCATGGCAATTGCTTTGTGCCAACTGGCGAAGAGAGAGTTTTTCGGGGGCAGGTCTATTGGATGATGTTGCATGGCGAGGAGCCAGGAGATTTGGCAACGTTGCATGGCAGATAACGTTTTAATTCGGCCATGTGCCAGGGCATTAAAACTTTTCCAACTCGGGATTGAACGAGTCGGGAAATTTGAAAGTTTGACAGAAACTGATGGAAAATAACGAAAGCCTTTAGTCCTTTGAAGCAGTGTTTATCGGTTGCTAACTTTTACAAAAGCTTAGTCCGGAAAAAAGGGCGCTAAAATAAGAAAGTAATGTAATTTGATGAAGATTTTCAATTTGTCCATAAGTAACGCCTCATTGTTAAACAAATTGAATGATAAATAAACAATACAGCTAACAGAAATTCCAGACTCAAGAGCATTAAACTCAAAGATAAACGTTCTTTGAACTCGCAACATCCTAAATGTAAAATTTCACAATATTCCCGGGATGATCGAGCATCGTTTGCTTTGCAGAAAATATTAATAGCCGCTCTCTGACTAATTTGCGATAATATTTATCAGGTCCAGGGCCCAAAATGGTTTCCATTTTGCACACACACGAAAAATTGCCTTCTAAATTGTGGCGAGGGTTCAAAAAACCAGCCGAGAACAAAAAGCGCAACGAGAGATAAACACAGAAAGACCAAAGAGATGGGCAAAAAAAGCATCTTAGAATGCCAGACAACGGCCAGCGATTTAAACAAAATCAAACAGAAATGGTTGTGTTTTGTGGGGCGTAAATATAATAAAACAAAAGCGAGCGTAGACAATGCCGGACAATGACAAGAGAAGCGGACAAATGGACATACTTGGGTTATTTCGGACATGGACTTGGACATATGCAAAGCGTCTCCAAGATCCACTCCTCTTCAAACCGATCCGATCCCCCGATCTCTCGGGTAGGAAAAATAAGCGAAATCAAGTGGAGAGGAGCGGTGGTGGAGTCCAAATGTGGATGCCTGTACGTCAGCAATCAGCAACAAAGCAAGGCAAACGGCAGCAACAGCAACACCGCATACAAAAGCGGCCTAACACAGAGCAAAAATGCTTTTTTGTCAAGGGTGAATGACCCAGAATCAAAATCCACAAAGTCGTCGACGTCGTCGTTGTCGTTGCTTCTGCTTCTGCTGTTGCTGCCGCTGCTGCCTGGCTGCTCCTGCTCTCCTGCCCCTCGATACCGAATGCGAATCCTCATCCTCATCATGCAGCTAAATCGACGGAGTCTTCGTGCGTTTGGCTCGTTTCAGTTTTCGTCATCCTCGAAAAACACGCCGCACCTCTCGCTTTTCTGCATCATTTTGTTTTGTATGGCGCACCCCCTCCGCCACTCTACGCCCCTGGCTGTTATGATTGCCGCGTTGCCAGACGATAACCCAAACCAAAACCAAAAAATAAAAAAAAAATAAAAAAAAGCGGAGAAAAGCAGAAAAAAGTAAAAAATATATAGCTAAAAGCAATGAATTTGAACATTTTTGCAGCATTGCACACGCGACTCTCGCACGCTCGCTCAGCCAGACAGTCTGAGAGATACAAATGCGGCCCACTCGCAGATACAGATACACTTACAGATACATTCGCAGTTACAAAGTGTATTATACTGCGCTCTCTGGATTTTCTAAGGCCCCCAAGTGTTATCGGGCAAACCAAGAAGCGCTAATTGCCGCCGTGTTTGCCGTAGATACACTTTGGGTACTCATTGAACGGAGCTGCGCTGCGGAAGTTTGACTAAGCCCCCTGAGCCATGATCATAGGCAGGTGATGCCTGGTGACACCGATTCTTCTTTGAGCTTTGCATAAATGTGACCCCTTGCTTCTCGTCTGGGTTTTAAAGTTAAACTTAAGTGTACTTCAAAAAGTTTTTATTTTAGTTCACAGTTACTACTTTTTTAAAATCTCTCTTTAAAAAAAGATTTTGGATAGGCATTATTTAAAAAATCTATAAAGAAATTGATTTTATTTTTTACAGTAAAGCGAATATAATTGGATTAACCATCATCAATGTCTCAATTTAAACCACTTTTGAAAGCTTTACTAAAATTATACAATGATTAGAATAAAAATGAAAGAAAAATATACATGTCTAAATAAAAATGTAATTTTATGGTTTCCTGTTTTAAAGTTTAAATTTTAATTTACCCTAAACTTTATACATTTTACCCAAAGGACAAAAAAGAACCTTATGGGTTAGAAACATAAATAAGAATAAATAAATATATATTTTCCCTTCAGTCATTTGTGATTATTCTTTTTTCAAGTGTGCAAACCCGAACAAAGCGTCAATTAAAGTTGACCCAAGACGATGTCGACAAGAACCAAAAGCCCGCTTGTTCGGCTCGTCCTGTCACCTAATTTCCGTTTTAGAAAACATGTCCTCAGCCCCGGCCAAGAGCCACTTGAGGGAGCCCTTTGCCAACCCTCTGCCCCTTTCGATTCCGTCTGGCTGTCCTGCGAGAACTACAACTAGTTCTGTCAGTCGGAGGACGAAGACGAGGACGAGGACAACGACAACGACAGCGACGACAACAGCAGCAAATAATTTTGTAATTCAATTGTTGTCCTTCTGCGCATATGGCGTGTGTGTCGACAGGGTCCTGCGGCAGGTTCCTTTGGCTAGCTGCGAGCTGCGAGCTGTGAGGAGCCGTGAGCTGCGAGGCAAGTGGCCTAGCCAGACGGCTGTCTGCCGGTGCTGTTGGTTCTTTGACTTGTCCTGCTCCCGTTTCGAGGACCTACGACAATAGCAAAAGTTGCCAAGCACAACCGGAAAAGGAATGGCCGACAAGCAGCGTCGACCTCGGTTCGTTCCTTCAGTTTGTGCAGAAGCCTCGGCAAATTGCAGTCGCTGGTGTCCTTTCTGCGCTTCCCCTCACTTTGCCACTCTAGCCGGCTCTATCCTGTTCTATCCAGTCTGCTTCCTGTGCCTCAGTTGGCAAACAGTTTTCACGTTACCTGCTGCAAAGCCCTAAGTGGCAACATTTTCCTAGAGCTTACATGGCGGAAAAATGTTTAAAAAGGAGATACGTAATATTTCTGTTTAGTTTTTTATAAATTAATTTAAATTTAAATTGCGCTTAATAATTTCTTTTTTTAATTTACTATTTTTTTATTTGGTTTCGCAAATATCTGACATTGAAAAGTAAAAGGAAGTGTGGTATTCAAAAAGTATGCAACAAAAAATGTAGCGTAAATTAGTGAGAAATTAAAGTTTCCGTTGTCAACTCTATATTTTTATGTAATGTTTCAAGCAAAATACTAATTTGTTTCGTTTAAAATTAGTATGCAACAACATATATAATTTTGAGTTCTAAAAAAGCACTTCAATTGATCAATTTAGCTGAATATCATTATTTTTCGCCAAAATTTGAGAGTACTTGAGTACTCATAGTAACTTATATTTGTTCAGTGCATCTGCTATTTATTTCATGCCAAACTTTAGCATTGTGCACAAACTTGTGTCGCTTGTCCTATTTGGAAAATGTTTGGATCTGAAAGCCAAGAGTTTTAATTAGGGCTCGGTACAAACTACTTGAAAAGCACCGATGATCATTATGGGACTTGAGGTGTCGGTTGCAGACGGACTGCCCAGTTGGGGGCAGGCTCTCATCCGATGATGGGATGATGAGATGGCTGGGCATGGGCTTTTCCCATGGCTGCGCTCATCGCTTATCCGCCATGTAATTTATGCGTATTAATTTCATCTCTGGCCTATCCGGCTTCCTGTGCCTGCGATGGCCGCACAATGCAAATTTCTTCGCTTCTTTCTGCGGCTCGTTATGCGTTTTGAATCGGTCCTCGTTCGATGTCCTCTGTCCGTTGTCCGTTGTCCGTTGTCCTCTGTCCGTTGTCCTGCGGTCCGGTCATTGCATCCCACCAGGCATATTGACCGGCACAAAAGATACGGCGTGGATACAGCTGGGAAAAAAGGAGAAAAAATAAAGGAAAGAATGGATTCGCTCGCTCCTCTCGCTCCTTGGCGAGGACAATAGGAATGCAGAATGCATCGCAGGAACCGCTCAATCCCTACGCCATTATTCGCATTATAATGCCATTCCGATATGTATGTAAATAAACAAAACAAAAAATAATAATAAAATCGCTTGTGTTCTAATTGCCGGCAAGGACCTGCCTGCCCGCCAGGATCCGACTGCCTGGCATCCTGCTAGGCTGGACATGCAATTGCATTGCAGTCGCTGCTGCTCTTGGCATTGTTCCAGGCACCGCTTAAGGGTTGAGTTTCAAGTTCTGCACTCGTCGGGGTTATCGCACGATTACAAAAGATTTCCTACTCTCTGGTCAGCTTCAGATCCTGAATCGGATTCAGATATTCAGATTCAGATTCCGATTCGGCTTCGGATTCTCGGGTACAGCAATGCGAAAAGGCTAAGCTTGCAGCGGAAGTCGAGCGTTCATTTCATCATCATCATCATCATCACATCAGCTGCCCCAGTATTTTTGGAGGGCAGGGCGGCGGCGGTTGGATTGAGATTTATCTAGGAGATACTTTATGCAGCAGCTGTTGCAGAGTTGCGCAGTTTGGGGGACATTAATCACTGGTCGCGCTCAAAGTTTGACCTCTTCGCTGCGTGTGAAATCGAAGTCGTTCATCTGCTATATCCTGCCGCATTTCTGATGCTCCTTTTGCTTTTTTCTAGTTGCCTTGCACAAAGAGAAATATTAAACACTCGACCATAATTCTTGTTCACCAGAAGTTGTTTGGAAACCTGGCTATTTTGGTGAGTTATGTATATCCAAAAGTTTGCAGTTGGTGACCTCACTGCTTTTTTTGTTCTACTGTTACGTTTTTAAATTGTTTGATTTTTTACCTTAATATCTTGGAATGTTCTATAAATTAGAGCAATCACTTTATTTATTCTTCCAGATTTATCTTTATTTTTCTTGAGTACTGGACGCGTTTGGTGACCCCGATTTTTTATGGGAAACATTTCTTAAAATGTGCCGTTTAATTCATCAGTATTTTAATTTAAAATTAAAATCTTAAAAAAATCTCAAGATTAATTTAAAATTCATTGATTTTACGCTTTAACCTCTTCTAGTAATGACTAGGACACGATTTTATTTATCTTAATGCCACCGATATTGAATAAATACCGAACCACTAATTATTCTAGTTTTTTTTTCACCGTGTGTGTGCGTGTGTTTGACCTTCTGGGCTGTCATTGACCCCGCTGCGGTGTAAGGCCAACTGCATCGCGGTCATGCAGGAAGGGGTTGGGGTTGGGGTTGGGATGGTAGAACGGAATGGTACGGAACAGAACGGGCGAGCGGTCTCATTATAGGTACATAATGTACAGCCGAGTCCTGCGGCACTTATCCGTAGTGGCAGCCTGTGCTGCTGCCAGTCGCGTTCCCATTCCGCCTTTGTTTTAACTCGCAAAAAATATTACAACATGTACACTTGAAACTTAGAATGCACTCGCATAAAACACAACACTCTACACACGGCACACTCGCATGCACTCGAAAATATTCACTCGGCCGTACTGACCTATTCCTCTGAAAACGCTGGTTGGCCTGTCTGCTGCCAAATGGCTCAAGTAGGGGGCCCAGAACAGAACATAGCAGAACAGAACGATTCTCGAGACCAAGCCAAGCGTAAACGTTTAAAGTTCCCTTTTGTTTTTGTCCAGGGATTAAATGTGGGCGGGATGCAGGGGGCGGAAACGGCAATTTAATGGGAAGGATAATGAATAGGTTGCCTAGGAACTCGCTCGCCGATACGCATACTTATATCTGGCTCTTTGATGAAGGGTTTGACTAAATGCGGTCAAAAGATTCGAAGCGGAAAACCAGGAACCGAAAATACTTCGGCTTTTGCATCTTACTTTTAATGAACGAGAAATTATATGTATTTTATCTGTTGGATAGAAAGAATTTTTGAAAAGATTTCCACCCATTCAGTATTCCAGGATCTAGCTAAATTATAGAAGGATATAATAATATTTCTACATATTGGGGAGAATTTTTCAAAAAATTCTTTAGAATTCAGAGTTTAAAGTGCACTTTTAACACACTGAATAGAAAACAGACCTTTTAATACTAACCTTTGATTATCTTTAGTAGAGGCTCATTACTTTGCCCTTTAATACTATCTGTTCCAATCGCTTCTCAGCTTACTGCAGTTGAAAACTGCATTATCGGCAGACTGCAGCGCTGCAAAGTGAAGCCCTGTGCAGTTTATGCAAATATGATCTCCCGATCGAGATTAGTGACACTTGATTGCATTGCTGCCGCTGGGGCAATCTCTTACAAAATGTTTTAACACCTCGTTGAGCTTACAATGGCTGGCGATTGGGAATGCCTGGTCTTGGGATCCCAGCACCTGAAAATCGATATTTGGACAGAAGGTTAAGGATGGAGCTAGGTAGCAGGGCTAAATAAGAAAAAAAATCCAAACAAAAACTGGCTGCCAACACCTTGAAGCAGACGGACGGCATTTGTGGACGGGGTATTGAATGTAATTAAAAGGAGTTGGATTACACGTGTTGGTGGTGGTGGTGGTGGTGCTTTCTTAGAGGGGACGGGCAGAGGGGGCTGGAGGACCCCTCACAAAAGGAGCTGCTTGCATGCATGCAAAAAGAAGGCAGGAAAAAATGGGGAATGCAAAGAGGGGAGACTTCTTCTTTCTTTCGTTTTTTTTCACTTAACACACAAGTGAAGCTCCCGCTCCGCTTCTCTTCTCTTCTGACTGAGCGACTCTCCAAAATGCACTTTAAATGGCAGTTTCCGGTCACACACACACACACAGACACACATCCTTTTGGAGAGAAACAATGCAAAAAACGCCAAGGAGTCGCGCTGTGCCAGGAGCAGCAATGCACCGCTTGGTACATACTGTACTCCACCCCTCGACGTCGCTGTCATGTCCGCCGTCATCGTCCTTATAGCCGTCATCCTTGCCTCGTTCTCGTTGTTGTTGCTCACATCCCTACCTTTCCTTGCTTATCCTTCGTGCTTAATGCAGTCTAAGCTTTCCATAGGCACATGTATAGGCCTACCCCTTGCAGTTCTTGCATTTGCATCGGCTTCTTCCTTTGTGCCAAGGGTTGAATGGAGAGGACTCTCTGCATGCAGTCGGCTTTATTAATCATTCCCCGCACATTAGCATAACGAATTAATAATCATATTTCAGATGTTCTGTGTTCACCAGCGCAGCTTCTTCCCCATTTTCTTGATCGCCCGTTTGGTTTCGCGACCCACATCCTGGGCCGCCCTCCGCGTCTCCCGCTCGCCATCGTGAGCAGCCCTCGAGGTTTCGTGCTCGGCATGATTCTCCGCCCTCCGCGTCTCCCGCTCCCCATCGTGGGCCGCCCTCGAGGTCTCCCTGCACGCATCCTCGGCAGCTCGAACAGTCTCGCGAGTAACTACCTCTACCACTCGATCTATTTCCCGCTTAACGATCGGAAAGGTCATGCGAACGGGACGCTCCAAACTGCGCCAGAAATCAACGCGCATCACTCGATTGCCCGACGGATCCTCGTGATAGGTCACCATGGCAATGGTGTCCTCGTCGAGGATCTCGATGAAGTCCTCTTCGATGCCAGTTTCGCAGTATTTGCCCAAGTAATCCTCAATCTCCTTCATGGAGGGCCGTTTTTGGGGATCTGCTTCCAAGCATCGTTCAATCATTTGCTTGATGCCCTCTGGGCAATCGGATCTCACTGCAGGCATCGGTGGTCTTACACCTGAAATTAAGTTATAGCTTTAAAATTTAAATGCCAAGTAATCCCACACACACTCATAGAAATTTTCCGGTAAAATCGCCCTAAAAACAGGGAAAATCGCCCTAAAACGGGGGTCAATGGCGACTAGGCAACAAATCTAGGGCGAATCGCCATAAAAATAAAACCAAATAAAAGCAAAAAAATCTATTAATTTTTCGGTGGGGGGGGGGGTGTTGATATTTTCCTGGGAACTGGACTCAACACATACACACACACACACGAACATCGTTTCAGATAATTTATTTGTTGAATTGTTGCTATATCGGATGATGCCATTGGGGGCAGGAGGCAGCAGACTTGTATAACTGCCGGTTATAACTGAAAAATCATCTTTGTAATCGAATTAAGGAGTTATATATAAGGAGAAAAAACAACTTACTTGAGAAAAACATTTGGGGTCTCTACGAGGGTTCGAACCCACGGCCTCTCGAGTTGGAGTCTATACACTCATAGAAATTTTCCGGTAAAATCGCCCTAAAAACAGGGAAAATCGCCCTAAAACGGGGGTCAATGGCGACTAGGCAACAAAATTAGGGCAAATTGCCCTAAAAATACGGGTGATTTTGTCATACATTTAGGGCGATTTTTCGTAGATCTAGGGCGATTTTTCTATTTTCAAAGGTAATTGCCCTAAAAATAAGAAATGAGACCCTTAAACTAAAGGCAGTTTCCTTCAAATCCAGGGCGATTTTTCTGGACTTATAGGCGAATTGCCCTGGAAATCGGAAAAAATACCTTTAAACTAAAGGCAGTTTATTATAAATCTAGGGTGTTTTTCTGGATTTTAGGGCGAATTGCCCTAGAAATAAGGAAAAATATCCTAAAACTAAAGGCAGATTTTCATAAATCTAGGGCGTTTTCTCTGGATTTATAGGCGAATTGCCCTAAAACATGTAAAATGCTCCCCAAAATTTTACGGCCATTTTTCATAAATAAAAATACGATTTCATTATATTTTTTTTGTTTGTTTTTTATATTTTTGTTTGTCGTTATTTACACAATTTCTAATTATATACATTTACATACTTTTCTACTTATTCTTATTGCTAAAAGAATTACATCGATCTTAATTTTTTGGCTTAATGTATTTTTTGGTCTTTAGGTTGTGTGCTTCCGCCGGAGGGAATTTTAGGTCTTACTGATTATCAAATTTTACTTCTAATTGAATGCATAGAAATAATAGTTTTTATTGGAATGAACAGATTGTTTCTTTAAAATAGTTACAGTTTTAAGGTTTTATAATCCTTCAAGAGTTCGGATAAAGCTTTACCTTTCTTATCAGACTCTAAATGAATTTCATAAAACATTTTTTGGATAAATGTCGTGGTTTAAAACAAAAAATATTTTGAAGCACACATCAATACTTTTCAATAAGGTTGGCATTCTATAAATAAACCTCTGATAGGTAAACTGGAAATTCACCAAGGTCAAAAAGGGCTTGTTCCCACGTTGCAGCTGAATGGTTGCAGTTTCGGCTTTCCGGATTAGCAATTTTCCGTCAATGCCCTTAGATGTGTTTGCAGTTCCCCAACAGTAGCCTTCCAAACCGAGAAACGCCTTCGCGGGTCCGCAATGGTGTGCTTCGCGTTCTTGCTCCCGCCGTCCTTTTTTGTCATTGCTGTCGCACCAACACTGAATGGATCGCAAGCCAAATTAAAGTTGATTGTATCTCTATTAAATAAAAACAGTCTATTTATTGAATGAGAAAAGAAAAAGAGAAAAAGCACATACCTTCAGCGTGGCTTTCCAAAGTGGTTTGCGGAAGCTGGATCTCAAAGACGTTCTCAATCTAAAACAAGAAATAAAATTGTTAGAAATTAAAATAAAAATGCACTACTAACAGTCAGAATTTTCATTTAGCCTGCGATTGCGTTTGCTGCTACTTCTGGAAAAAAAGAAGCAACAAAAGCAAATTTCGGTTACTGACGAAATGACGCAATAGAAATTTGGGGGTTATTTTGGCATATGCACTTGTGAATGCGGTTTGTCCGGTGCATAAATACAGATTTCTGGTAAATATATACATCTGTATACATGTGTATATTCTGTTGCATCATTTTTTTACCTCAAGCATTATTTACATATACACATACATATATGTATACTCTTATTAATGTTCTTACTTTGTTCTGCCACACTTCCAAAACTCTACATCTGGACCGCTGCTTCCAGTCAAATCTTTTTAAGTTTCAGCTGCATTTTCCTCTGTTACAGATACATATGTAAGTTCAATTAGTTATTAATATCCAAATTGCACAATTATATATGTATGTACTCACCAGAAAACAGAGAAAGAATCGCCTCCCAAATCCTTTAATAGCGTTTACATTTTTCACTTTTTCACAAACAAAAGGTTTCACAAACACGTCTTTCGCTGCCAAGCGCCGAAAAATTATGACAAAGTCTAGACAATGCAACTCTTTCTACCCCCACCCTTGCCACTGCAACGGACGAAAAGTAGCGAAGAAGAAGAAAAAGGGTGGACTTCTCTAAAGTCAAATGCGCTCAGCATCAAAATTCATAGAAAAAGGTCCGCCCTAATATACACACACATTCACTTGTTTTGACCTGCCAACCACACACACATACACACATATTACATATGTATCCATTAATTGCGTCTTAGAATTTCGTTTGACTCTTCCTTGTTTTTAGGGCAATTTCAGAACATATTTTTGGCTATTTTGTTCTGCGTTTTAGGGCGATTTCGCCCTAAAAAGAAGGAATTACTTTTGGAGTCGACTCATAAAAATTCGCCCTAAAAAACAGGGCAAATTTGGCGTTTTGGAAAAACTAACCCTAAAAAAAATTTTCCATGGCGATTTTTCGTATATTTAGGGCTAGCCACCCGTATAATAAGACAATTTTTCGTAGTTTTAGGGCGACCTCGGTTTTAGGGCGACTTTTCTAGTATTTAGGTAAAAATTTCTATGAGTGTAACGCTCTAGCGCTGCACCAAAGTCCCATCGCGCTAAGCAACGTACAAACACTGTACACATCTTACTTTCTTGCGGTCTAAGTTATTCGTACAAAAACTTGAATTTTTTGCTGGCTGGGATACTTAGGGCCGTTTCTTCGCATGCTTAGCACAAATTAGTCTTTAAACTCAGAATTTCCATATGTATTTAGGGTTTTAAAACTACTTTAAATTTAACATGCGAACGAAAAATTAGTAATAAAAACTGTAATAAAAAAAAAAAAGTGTTGACTCACACAGGAATCGAACCCACGACATGTATTTTCAAACAGCAAAGCTGAAAGTGCGAGTGCTTAGACCGCTGGGCTACCCATTCTTACTCACTTGTCTTGACCTGTCAACTACACACACATGTAAATAACATGTTTTACATGTATGTATCCATTTATTGCGTCATAAAATTTCGCCCTAAAAAACAGGGCAAATTGGCCTTTTTGGAAAAACTAACCCTAAAAAATATTTTCCATGGCGATTTTTCGTATATTTAGGGCTAGCCACCCGTATAATAAGAAAATTTTTCGTAGCTTTAGGGCGACCGCGGTTTTAGGGCGACTTTTCTAGTATTTAGGTAAAAATTTCTATGAGTGCAGAAAAAATGTGATATGAAATAGTGTCATTTCTACCTTCTTTCATATCAATAAAAAGCCGATACGATTAATGTCAAATTTATAATTCATACATATCAACTTGATACTCCATTAGTAAATAGTTTATCATTTCATCAAATACTATGTTTATACGATAGCAATCACGATTTCTTGAAAGCGCGAAATAGAAATAACCCCTGTTTATACGACAGCCGAGAATTCATGCTTTTATTCACTCTCAGCTGATAGGGATGCCGGACCGGCAAAAATATCTAATTTTTAATACCACTGATTAGAGATATAGCCTATAAAAGGCCTTCAATTTCTAGCGATCTGGCAACGTCGATCATTTTTTACAGAGTTACCATACTGCATATCACCAAATCACGCTTTTGGGCTGAAATCATAGTCAACTTTCGTGTGTTGCCGAATTCACGAAATGGCGTTTATACAAGCACGAATCGGCCGAAAGCGTGAAATGATAGCGTGAATTCGGCATCGTATAAACACAGTAAAAGTTATAAAAATACTGTTTTAAAATATCAAACTTAGTATTTTTTAAACAAATTTTGTAAAATATGATATAAATAACTTGGTCTTTAAAAAATATTAAATTAACTGGCACATATCAATATGATACAAAAGGATATTTAGCAATATTTATCTGTGCATTGCATTGGGTAAATAAAATGAATAAATACCATTTAATTGTTTATTTAATTTTTCAAATTTATGTCCATTGACACCTACCTTCGTTTACAGCTACCAAAATGGCAAATTCATTGCCCACATTCTCATAGTCCTTATAGGGCTGTGTACGCGACATCAGCTCCCAAAGCACAATCCCAAAGCTGTACACATCGCCCTTGTCCGTATACTTTCTATCCCTGAATGCCTGGAATCAAGAAGGACTTAGTTACTTGTCTAGATTTGCATCCCAAATCTTTTCACGCACCTCTGGAGCCATATACTTCACAGTCCCTCGCATATCTGACTGGTTGTTGGACATATCCGTGGCCAAGTCAAAGTCACCAATTTTTAGGGTTTCAAAATCATCATCCAATAGCAGGTTTTGCGGCTTTATATCGCGGTGCAGCAACGGTCGTTCCCTTGAGTGCAAGTGGGCCAAAGCCTATAATGACCAGGAAATATAATAGAGGATATAGCGAAAGCGATCTCATTCATTACCTTGGCACATTGGAATGCCCAGCGAGCGGCTTGCTGCACAGTGTACTCCCACTGGTTGTCGCCGTAAAGAAAATCGTAGAGCGACCCATTCTTCAGATACTCCATCAATAAATACTCCGACTTCCCATCGCTGGCTGTGCCGAAGACCGTCACAATATTTTCGTGGCTGATCTCCGTTAAATGTGTGATTTCCCTTAATGCATTTTTCTTTTGGGTCTCAGTCAGAAAGTTGTACGCCTTCACCGCAATGGGCTGGTCCTTAAAAATGCCTTTGCGCACCACAGCAGCGGCTCCAAATCCAAGTTTCTGTCGAGCATCGGGAAGGATTAATCCAGGAAAAAGTTCTAAGGAAAATAACTACCTCACTTAGCACCTTGACGTCAGCGATATCCACTCTTTCAGCCATCATTCAGCTTCAAATACTATTTATGCACTGAATTGCAGGCACTAATGAACTCAGTTTTTAAAGGCCAGTTAGGTGTGATAACGAAATCTTATCGGTTTACGATAAGACACAAATCTGTTATTCCCCGAATTTATAGCAATTTCCCCGAATAGCAATTTAAAAATATTGTTAGGCTGTGACTTTTATACCTATACTTCTAAATTTTTATTTATTTATATTGCAGTTTCCCACAACATGGATCGCGATTCATATCGCACCTTCAGCCCGGAAATGTACTCGTCATTAGCAAGACCATTGGGTCAGCATGGAACTGGTAAGTGATGGTTTTATCTACTATTTTTTGATATTAAGGGATATACATTAAACAAATATTAGTAAATGTAAATATTGGTAATATAATAAAGCAGCAGTAACGCCTGTAAATTAGATTCCCTGTCCCCATACTTTATTTAATATTTATTTTAAAGATTGTTCCTATCTGTAAGTAGATAGGCCCTCTGCTGGATGAGCTTAGAGCAGCTTTATGCTGTTTATATTGGCAGACCTGCCCATCTGGATCTCGCATTACACGCCAATGCAGTGGCCTGCTTGAATTACACGAATGTCTACGGTTACATAAAGCGCCTGACAGCAGTTGCTCTCCATTAGTTTATGCCTCCGGCCAAGAGTTCCTTGCACTCCTTTCGTTTTCAGCCTTTGCTGGTGCCGTTGCCCACACATTTGTTGGTGTAGGTCCAGTTGCAGTCCCCTGTACCGATATAAGTCCGGGTTCCAGTCCCCGACTTATGTAAACCACATGCCCACTTCACTTGGCAGGCTGCCTGACTCGCTGGTTGGTTGGATAATGCACACGAAAAAAAAAGATATATAAAATAATATATAAATATAATACTACATGAAACCGTGCCACATCTTTCCCCTTACATTAATATTTTTCCTCTTTATTTGGGATGATATTTTTACTGTGTAGCAAGTTTGGTTGGTTGGATGGTAGGAAGGCCTGGGCCCCAGTGCGTTTACATAATGCAAATGCAAGTACATGGCACTTGAGCATGCTCTTCGCGCCACGTTTCGCATATTTGCCGGCTGCATGTGTTCTGGGTACTGGGTTCTGGGTTTTCCGGCTGTGCCACCGTTTCTGGTTAGCCCTTTGCCATGTCAGCACCTTGCAACATCATTTTTTCGACTACGGAATTAATGGGTTAAGTAAATAGCCATGTAATATGTTGCAGTGCAGAGTGGAGAGAGAGTGAAGAGGGGATGTGGAGGGGGCTTTGGTTATGGCATAAAGGACTTCAATGGCAGCGCTCGGATGTCGATGCTGATATCCTCCGGTCTGCAGCTTTCACCCCATTCAGAGGCCTCCTTTTCGCTGACGAAGCTACCAAATAGTTCATAAACTTTAAGATAAAATTGAAATTAATATTTAAGTTATTATACGTGCCTAATGGAATATTAATTTAAGATATTTGGAATGTGCTTAATGCACACTTCTAGGTCAGTTTATTAGTTTTATATCTAATCAATTCATTTAGAAATTTATTGATAAATTAAGCTTTATAACATTTTTATTAAATTTGTTAACCTATTTATACAATTATTAACGTAAAATATACAGGCAAATTGTTCAAAAATGTATTAATTGCTTTAAATTGCATGATGTCAATACCAAAACACAGTAAAGATATTTTTTCCAATTTATTCAACCTATTTTATTTTATTTATTCAGAAGTTCAGTGGACTCAGTGTGGCACATTATTATTGCACTTAAATGTAGAAACTGTCTGAAAGCAAAAGCACACCATCTGAAACGTTATTCACGTAGGTAGTTGCACCTTGCTGGGAAGATGTAGGTGAAACATTTCGTATTCATTTGGCGGCGACAAAAAACGCGTTCTTGCACTTTAACCACGTTCAAAATATCCGTAAATACGAGCGGGCGAACTAAAAGCGCTGTTGTCGTCGCCATGTGTGCGCAGATTGCATTTCAATGGACGGACCCTCCTCCGCCGAAGGTCTCCCCCGACCAGAATCCTTGCCTGCATCTGCATCTGCATCTTTCCCCGGTTTCCCAGGCTGCGCCATGTGCAAGCTGCGCGGCTGTTGCTGCTGCTGCTGTGATGTTGCTGCTGCTGCTGCTGCAATGCATTGCTCGTTGCAAGGGTCGGCAGTTGTGGCTTTTGTTTTAGGAAAAAAAGAAACGCGGTGAGAATAACTCGCCCCATGCAGTGGCGAAAGGCAAAAGTAGGCCAAGTTAAAATTGATTTAATGCGTTGATTGCGTGGAAGTTGCAGCTGCGATTGCAGTTGCAGTTGCAATTGCCGTTGCCCAGATTTATGCCGCGTCAGCTGTGCCTTGTTTTACTTTCGATGGATCTTAATCTGGTCTGCGATCCGGTGGCCTGAGATCGTACTGACCCAGAAAACGAGACAGGCAAACAAGAGAAACACTCGCAGACGGGGCGTATGCGCGATATGCTATTCCGAACATTGACCCAGGACCTTTGGCCACCCACTCGGCGCATTCGTTAAAAATAATTGCCAACCCCCTTTGGGCAGGTTGCGTGCCGCAACGATCCTTGAAGTATATATTTTGCCCAGCTTTGCTGATTTTCCCTCCGGCAAACGTCAAGTGGCCGCCGCTTTTCTTTTGACAGCTAATTGGAAAAATGTTTGGAAATTCGCCTTCTATTTATTCGCGCACATCGGAGCGTTGCCTGGGCAATCGCCTCGCTTCGACTCAAATCGAATCGAAAGTAGGGTCCTTGGCAGGATGCGGAACAAGGGCGCATTATATTTTAACACCTTCATCCAATTGCCAGCTTTTTGTTCTACTTCCTCGCATCGCATCGCATCGATCCTGGGCCGCTGTCAAATGCGTTGCCCTTCTGTCCCTGCCTCGGGCCTAATTTATGGACTTTGGCCATTTGCTGGCGCATCATTCCACTTTTTTATACATACATTTTTTCTTCCAAAAGTGACGACAAAACATTCCACAATATGACAAAAAAACGCAAGAAAGAGAAATCCCTTTTGCAAAAGAATCAAATGCAAAAAAAAAATAAGGAAAAAAATGCCATCGACAATTTAGATAAATTTTCCCACCAGCCATGGCCATAAAAACAAAGACCGCGACCCGAGAAGATCAGCGAGGGGTGCTCTCTCTCTCTCTTTTTGCAGGATTCCAGGGTGTCCAGGCCACGGGTGCGGTCATCATACTCATACACTCATCCCCATGCCCACATCTCCCAGTCATCCAGTCCATTCATCCACAATATAATCACGCTGTGCTCGATATCGAATGATAAACTCCGAGCCAGAGTCGTATAAAGATGATGATGATGATGGTGGTGCAGCTTGCTTACCTCCAGTTTGTGTGTGCTCAACGGCTCAGCGCATATCCTTCAGGTACAACTTACTCATATATCACAAAAGGATACTCCGCTCCTCCCGTTGTGTGTGCTTTTCTGCTTAGCTTTTTGTCTTGTCTGCGTGGTCAGCTCTCTGGCTATTGCTATTGCTATTGCTCAGCCACCTTTTATCCCCTCAATCGCCTCGATCCCCCCCGCCCCTTGATCCTGTTCGTCCTGCTGGCCGCTCGAAGGTGACACCGTCGCACAGACAATGGCCAAGGCAGGAGACACGATGGTCAAGCGACCGCCTCTCGCAGAGCTCGAATAAAAAAAGGAATAAAAAAGGAAGCGGCGAGCGCAAAAAAATTAGACGATACGAACCAGTCGCTGGCCAAATGCAAAAAAAAAATCCTTCATATAAAAAGAAGTACGCAAATCAAAATCAACTCGTAAAAAACTTAGTTTTATATGTGGGTCTGCATTAAAAATGCAAATGTCGCATTGAGTTTCCTTCCTTCTTGGCTCGTTTTTTTTTTTTTTCTCCATCCTCCTCCGATGTCCTCGCTGCGGCTGGTCATCCACTTCCTGTCCCTCTTTCTGGGTTGGCATTTAAGATTTTGGGTAAACAACGTTTCGCCACGGTGAGCAGAACCTGAAGAAATCTCTTTTCTGGACTTGAATATCAGATGTGCTTTGGAATTGAAAATAATAATATGCATATTGCGATACAGGCTAAAAGGCAATAGGTATTAAAATATATTTAGTTTAAATATAATCTTTAAACATTTATTTATGCTCTCTTTTCTAGTTTTTGTTCCTTTTCGGGGTCTTCATTATCAAAGTTAAAAATGTAAAATTCTTTTACAAATAAATGCATTTGTATTTAAAAGTCCTCAAATTGCTATTGTTTTACGAAACTACACTTATTTTAAATAACTTACCTTTATTTCTTAAAGAAAGTTGTTTAAACTAGTAACTTTTAGTGTTACAAACCAAACCCTTTTTATTTTAACAAATTCAATATTCCTTATCAAATCAAAGTCTTTTATTCACGTTTAAGTCAATAACTTAAAAATTTTCCCCTAAAAAAGTTCAGGAATAACCCTAACAAATTTTACATTTAATTACTTTAGTGCAATCAATATTTCAGACATAAATATTGGTAAAAATTCAACAAATGCCTTCCTTTAAAAGTAAGAACTTCCTTCTAATTCTATTAACCCCTGCACCCACACGGCTTGGCTTGTAGCTTAACCCCGAAACTTTCTCGAGGCATCAAAAATTATGCTTTTTCACTACAAGAATAAGGATAAGCAAAAGCAATGCTCGCTGATTCCAATTGCGAGAGTACAGCAGCAAAACATGAGCAACCAACCACCGGCGATAAAAAGCCGAGCCAGAGGAAGAGCGAATAAAAAAAAAGAAACTGAAATATCAGCGTGGCTCAATAAGTTTCGGGCCCTGGACATTGTCCATCCTTTTGGGAGAGAGGTTCAGCTCAGGTACATTCGAGGACGCGACTGAGGAGGACGAGTACCTCTACCTCTACCTCAACCTCTACCTCTACCTACATCCATTTGAATGCAGACAAGTCCTTGCGTCGTGATCTTCCTTTGTGCGGCGGCCAAGTGCGCTGCTGTCTGCCGCC